AGGTATAGAACGTCGTAGAGGTAGAAAAGTAGACATGTATAGAGCGTCGTAGAGAGAGTAGACACGTATAGAGCGTCGTAGAGAGGGAGAAGAGAGTAGACAGGTATAGAGCGTCGTAGAGAGAGTAGACACGTGTAGAGCGTCGTAGAGAGAGAGAGAGAAGAGAGTAGACAGGTATAGAGCGTCGTAGAGAGAGAAGAGGAGTAGACATGTATAGAGCGTCGTAGAGAGAGAGAAGAGAGTAGACAGGTATAGAGCGTCGTAGAGAGAGAAGAGGAGTAGACAGGTATAGAGCGTCGTAGGGAGAGAAGAGTAGACAGGTATAGAGCGTCGTACAGAGAGAAGAGAAGAGTAGACATATATAGAGCGTCGTAGAGAGAGAAGAGAAGACAGGTACAGAGCGTCGTAGAGAAAGAAGAGAACAGATTAGACAGATATAGAGCGTCGAAGAGAGAGAGAGAAGAGTAGAGTAGACAGCTAGAGAGCGTCGTAGAGAAAGAATGGAAAAGAGTAGACAGGTATAGAGCGTCGTAGAGAGAGAAGAGAAGAGAGTAGACAGGTATAGAGCGTCGTAGAGAGAGAAGAGTAGACAGGTATAGAGCGTCGTAGAGAAAGAAGAGGAGAGTGAAGACAGGTATAGAGCATCGTAGAGGAGAGAGGAGTAGACAGGTATAGAGCGTCGTAGGGAGAGAAGCGTAGACAGGTATAGAGCGCCGCAGAGAGAGAAGAGTAGACATGTATAGAGCGCCGTAGAGAGAGAGAAGAGTAGAGTAGACAGCTAGAGAACGTCGTAAAGAAAGGATAGAAAAGAGTAGACAGGTATAGAGCGTCGTAGAAATAGAAGTGAAGAGAGTAGACAGGTATAGAGCGTCGTAGAGAGAGAAGAGTAGAGAAGACAGGCAAAGAGCGTCGTAAAGAAAGAAAAGAAGAGTAGAGTAGACAGGTATAGAGCATCGTAGAGAAAGAAGAGAAAAGAGTAGATAGGTATAAAGCGTCGTAGAGAGAGAAGAATAGAGTAGAGCGGCATAGAGCGTCGTATAACGGTTAATCTTACTTTTTCGCGAACACCTGGTATCATCACTATTTATTAATGATTCATAAATATGCTTATGCCATAGTCTGAATCGTACAATCGACTCTTAACATGTTTAAATGTCTATGAACATGTTAAGATTATGGTGAAGTTGCATTTAGGTGTTTTTTAGGCTGTGAGACGATGGCTGAGTTTTGACCCTAAACGTGTTAAGATAGAACACACTAAATGTGTATTCCGTTTTGGATTTAAACACACCCCTAAACATTTTTAGATCTAAATATGTCTTGTATGTATTTTCATTCTTAACACAGTTTTACAGTAGAGAGTGAAAAAGTGCCAAAGAGAGATACGAGATGAGAAGAGGAGGCAGGTAGTGTTGTACAGAGATAGTGACAATACGAGAGGCCATAAAGAGTATCGTGGAGAGAGAGAGAGAGAGAGAGAGAGAGAGAGAGAGAGAAAGAAAGAGAGAGGGGGGGTGAGAGAGAGAGGGTGAGAGAGAGAGAGAGAGAGAGAGAGAGAGAGAGAGAGAGAGAGAGAGAGAGAGCTCAATTGCATCTTTTAAAATGTCCTTCTCTTCTTCTTGCAAACTCAATTGCACGTTATTCGCATTAAGCCAAGACCTGCCATATTACGAGGTCGCAGCTTCACCACACAAACACCAGCAGGAATCGGGACTATTCTGTCCTATCCTTCTTGCAATACACAGATTGGGAAGAAACATGTCAAGAAAGGAACCCTACTAATCTCCTAATGCGTTTTTACAAGAGACAACAAATTTACAAACAGCAGCCCGCGTCAACATGGTGTTTATCTGCACCTCACGGTGAACACTTGCACAGCTGTAGAATCAGATTCACAAATACTACTTTAAGACGGTTAGGTCCTACCACAGGCATGGCATCCGTCTCAACAATTTACAACGTGGCACTGCAAAGAACAAATTTGCTCTTATAGACGTAATATTAAAGATATAGTGTACACAGCACCGCTGGAATTGAATTTGGCATTCAACTGCTCTTTGTGAAAGGCTGATGCACTGGGGTAAACATGCTGTGGGTGTGTTCATGCGCGTTATGGCTTTCCCATAGGAATTATATCAAACGCGCAGGCAGGGCCGATAATGTTTTATTGAATTTTGTTAAGCTGGTGGAGTCATTTTTGACACACAGGTATAACAGCCTGAACGAAGGCAGTAGGTAAGATTGAATTCTTGAAATTTTATGTTGAAATGAAATCTACCTTTCTGGCATATTGTCATAAAATACGTTTGGTGCTCAGCACTTGTCAGTTATTCTGTTGAGGTCACTTTTGAAACAACAACATAAATGATGATGATGATGATGATGATGATGATGATGGTAATGATGATGATGATGATGATGGTGGTGGTGACGGTGATGATGATGATGATGATGATGATGATGATGATGATGATGATGAATCCAGCCTCTTTTATCCACCGTAACAAATTCCATTGGGCGTAAAAGGCAAAATAGCCATGGAAATTATATGAATTGAAAACTGAATATTAGTGATGACACCAAGTGTTCACAAAAGTGGTGAGCATGCCAAGCCCTATTGGTAGGTAAACACTGTTTGCACTGTCTACGGGAATGTTTAGAATATTTGGAATCTTGTCTTGAACATCCACTGAGTGTAAACTGGATGGCTGCAGGGGTTGGATCACTAATACAGGGCGTTGGTGTAGGTGGTACATCTTGCACATAGTCATGATATTATAGCTTTATTGCTGTTGACTTAACAGACTCATATAGATAATTCTATTATAGACATTGGACACCCCTACGGCAGATTATTCGGTTCATTGGGGTTAAATGTTCAATAAAATGTCTGGACCAGGAGAAAGGATTGCATTGCCGAGATTTTCCACTGGCACTGCGTATTATCTATATAACTATAGGTGTAAAGACAATGATCCTTTTTTCAAACATGGGTAGTCCAACTGAAGTGCCAACCCAAAATGGATATAAACGCCACCTTTAGTTCCAATTGAATTTGGAGTTAAAATTACTTGTGATCTATTTGTGATGCATGCCTTGTATATGTAAATGTGTTCTCATCGTGTCTGTATCCTATTTATATCGTATGATGGGCGTTTAGGGGAACCGTGTCGCGCTCACAGTTGTGATCCTGCATTTTATTCAATTTACTTTAAAAAAAATTAAACCTTTTTTCATGAAAGGGTAAATGTGATCGACTGCATCGTGTTTTTGACAGACAATGTTTCCTGAATAATAGTGGGCTTGACAGTCTGTTGTAGGAACTTGACAATGGACAAGATCGTGTATTTTATAGAAAGTTTTACTTTATGAAACGGTAATACAGAGAGATTGTTTTTGTATTGTAACTCAACCATTGATTTAGATATCAGTCGTCAAGAATATTTTTATATGTATGTATTCGACTTAAGTATAAGTCATGTTATGTTTCAATATTATCTGTAGCTTAGTAAGTTGGCTGTATAACTGTGTGAATTTAAAACAGTTTTCGCCTACATTGTATACAAGGGGAACGCTAATTCTAAGTTGCTACTACAAAAGCTTGGGAACTCAGTTTCTTGAGAGGTCACTTGCGCCCTAAAAGTCTCCTCAAAGGAAACCTTAACGAAACTATCAATCTTTAGTAGTAGTAGTAGTAGTAGTAGTAGTAGTAGTAGTAGTAGTAGTAGTAGTAGTAGTAGTAGATGCAGCAGTAGTAGTAGTAGTAGTAGTAGTGGCAGTAGTAGTCTCATAACATGTTCCTACATGTATAACCCATCAAACATTGTGTATAAAACTAGTCGACTATACTTCGACAGAACTCCGTCGATTACTTCACGTATTAACACAAGTTACGCCCGTCACTATACTTGATTACACCCACCCTGACGGCGTTAAATCCAATTCATTTGCTCCATATGACAGTCAAGTATACTTAAATACAAACACAACATACCAAAACCGATAGTCCAATGTGATTCTACATTAACCTACGGTTATAACGAACTCAAAGGGACTACTATTTTTAGCTCGTTATAACCGTAGTTCGTTATAAGCATATATACAGCATAACTACAGCACATAGTCAGGGCTAAAAAGTAAGTTCGTTATATCTGCCAGTTCGTTATAAGCGTGTTCGTTATAACCGTAGTTTACTGTATATTAATGTAGCCATGACCTTTGCTAATTTATAAATCCAGTTACCAGGAAAAACGCATTGCAACCAACATTGATTACAGTTTTTAGCAAGGCAATATTTTAGACTGGGTAAATAAATTTGGTTTCACACGTATACAAGACGGTCTTCTCTTGGATGTTAAAAATAGATTCTAAATTGGGAAACAAGCACTGAAACCCAATACTGACCAAAGTCAGTCGTGGCTAATCAAGTGACTTTTGTGTGGACACGTTGACTTTAGCATTATCATGCTGGGGTCAGTTTCTAAATATAGATTCCCAGGAACACAGGGAACCCCTGTGTTATTTGCGTTATGGTATCTCGGTGGAGGATTTACCAGATTAAGTGATTATTAAAGCAAGGGGACAAACATGCATTAGCAGAGAAGGTAAACGTGTAAACACAAGCGGTGTGTAATGCTCACAGATACACAGTTACACATTGTCAAATAGTTTGTTAATCTTGCGTAGTTGGGGAATAAATCAAAACAACGTTTAAGAATAATCAGCATCATTTATTCTGTTTATAAATACTTCATTTTCATAACATTCATTTTCTGTCGAGTTCATCTTTTGGTTAGCACAATATAAAAGAACAATGATAATTTTACATTTCAACATTTGAGACATTCAAATAATATTACAAAACATGGGATATATTTAATATATAACATACTTAAATGAAATATATCTATTTTTCATTGGGACTTTATTGTACTCCGATAACTATATACATCTGTTAAGAGAATTATACATATGTACACATGTACACAATGATAATTTTACATTTCAACATTTGAGACATTCAATTAATATTACAAAACATGATATGGGATATATTTAATATATAACATACTTAACTGAAATATATCCATTTTTCATTGGGACTTTATTGTACTCCGATAACTATGTACATCTGTTAAGAGAATTATACATATGTACACATGATGGATATTGTTTCACATACATATGTCTTGTAAGCAACCATGATAACACAAACATATTACATGATACATACACTGTAACGGAACTTGATTGGACACATGCTCCAAGACAACGTTTTTTTCACCTTATCATTATTGGTGTAAAATACCTCTGTGTAAACATGCGCTGACTCTTGCCCCTACCTTCTTACTGCTAGAAACGTTTCTACTTTTAAAAGTCTAATTTGGGCTAACACGACTTCATCTATAAATAATTACATCATCCATCGCCTAGGCACAATAAAACCACGAGGCATAACCTATATTACATAACCACGAGGCTTCACACGCACACATTAAGACCAGATTCACACTTATTTGTTACAGGAAGACATGCCATTGTACATAGCTTTCATAAAGTTAAAAAGGAAAGGAAACAGGGTTGGCTCTAGGGTATTGGTGCATCGGTAAATCACAAAACAAGGTAAAATATTTTGTTTTCAGAGAAACAGATACATTCTGCAACACATGAAATACATTCTTTGGATAAAATAGACAGTATTTCTTTGAAGGTCATTACAAGGGAATATGTTTACTTTTGCAGCTTTGAAGGAGATGTACTGAATCAATACATTGATATATACATCCTGCTGACCTTCTTTACGTGAATTCAAAGGGAACTACGTGGCGAATGTACAATACGAGTACCAATATACCATGAAATGAAATACTGAATACAGATGTATCTCACTTTCAGTCAGTCAGTGAGTGAGTGAGTGAGTGAGTATGGTTTTACGCCACTTTAAGTAATATTCCAGCAATATCACGGCGGGGGACACCAGAAATGGGCTTCACACATTGTACCCATGTGGGAATCGAACCCGGGCCTTCAGCGTGACGAGCGAACGCTTTAGCCACAAGGCTAACCACCGCCCATCTCACTTTCATACAACATATATAAACTGATATATGATTGTCATGAGACACATACATGAACACTCCTTTCACTACAGCAAGTGAACACTTCAAATTATCTATGGACATTTCTGTAGTTTACTACCTTGATGCTTAACAAGGTCGTCATTTAACGTCATTTACATACAGCGATTGTTTCCATTTTACGTACATACACATGTACTCCATTAAGGATAAACATGTAATCGAAATCTTAATTAGTTTCCAAAGAAATGTAATACATCTGTTTTCAGGATTACAATCCATAATGTTCAGTATAGCAACGTAACAATCGTATAATCTAACACAAGGTGACACAAAGTCATTTCTCTTGTCGGTGAATATGATGTCCCTGTAGTTGTAGTTAATCTTCACTGGTGTATATATATACATTCAAGATATGAAAGTCCTTAAAGTCCCTCGGTGCCAACAGTCGTGTGTTTCGCTTGGTGACTTCCATACATTGGATTATTGAAAATGACTGGTTTTGTAAAATGTTCCTCATTATGTATATTGTTTTCTATGTTCTCTTCGGCTTCCTTCAAGCTCGCGTTTTGCCTATGTCTGAAAAGAAACATACAGAATGAAGGAATCTTATTCTCTCGTTGTTCTTATATGTAAATTAATTAACTTGTCTGACAAGTCTTGTCGTATATACACCATCGTATTAGTACTTACTTTATAAAGTGATGGGCAGAACTGAGGTAATAGATGGAGAGCATATTATAAGATCACAAAATTTCACTCAGCAATATTTCCAGCTATATGACGACGGTTTGTAAACAATCGAGTCTGAACCAGACAATCAAGTGATTGACATCATATACATCGTTCCACACACTTACGCAATTGGGATACGATGACATGTATCAAGTCAGCGATTCCCGTTAGTTGCCTCTTATAAGCACTTACGACAAGCATGGGCAGGTGAAGACTTATTCTAACCCGGAAATTCACGGGTGTCTGGTTGTGTTTAAAGAGCAGTTATAATTATTATCATTTCTTCTATTTACATGGTAATATGTAATTATGTATAAGTACCTGTACAGTTGTGTTCGTGAACTTCAAAACAAATGAACCGATATTCTCCAAACAATTTTCATAAAAAGGCAAACAACATGAAGTGGGAGTCTTTTTTTATATGTTTTGAAAAACTCCGTCTTAACGATAAGCAAAGATATGTAAACAGAAGTTCTGAAATTAAGATTAATTTGATCAAGGTTAATCGAAATATTAGCAGAATTAGCAATAAGGCGGGGGAGGGGGGTTTACATGCCGCGTTACGTACCTTCTAACATATACAAAGTAGAATACGGCGATGCAGATTAGAATGAAGGCAAACACGGAACAAAGGACCGCAGTGGGCACCTGCCAGTCAGTGTTCTGGAACAAAACATAGTAATAATCATGGCTGTTAAATGAACTTGTTGTGAAACAATAATTTTAATAACATGTCAAAAGCATTCATACGAAATATACGCGACAAAACATTTCCCCCAATCATAAGAAATCAGATTGTACGATTCCAAGTATATAGATATATTTATAAGTATATGTTTATGAATCACTATCAAATAGTGATGGTACCAGGTGTTCGCCAATGCGGAGAGCTTGGTTGGTTGGTTGGTTGGTTGGTTGGTTGGTTGGTTGGTTGTTTAACGCCGCACTCAGCAATATTCCAGCTACATGTATATGACGGCGGTCTGTAAATAATCGAGTCTGGACCAGACAATTGGGATACGATGACATCCATCAACCAAGTCAGCGAGCCTGACAACCCGATCACGTTAGTGGACTCTTACGACAGTCATAGTCGCCATTAACGGCAAGCATGGGTTGCTGAAGACCTATTCTCTACCCGGATCTTCACGGGTCTTCCCCGAGAGCAGGGGTTGAACACAAGATTATCACCTACAGCCTCCGTGTTGTACAAAATGTATCTACTTCAAAGGTAAGAAAGCGTGATACATGACATGACTTAAAGGACAACCAAAATTGATTTTTTTTAAAATGAGCATGACTATTATCCTTTTGCAGAAGGTTGGGTGCCAATTGTATTCCTTATTCTTGGATACATATCCAAATGATACAAAAGGTAAATAACCATTTTGATATTATGAGCATGGATCCACGCAATTGGGATCGATGACATGCATCAACCAAGTCAGCGAGCCTGACCACCCGATCCCGTTAGTCGCCTTTTACGACAAGCATAGTCTCCTTTTACGGGAAGCATGGGTTGCTGAAGACCTATTCTACCCCGGAATCTTCACGGGTGCGGAGAGCTAGATACAGGCGATTTCGTATTACACTACAGCGCTTAGAAAAAACACACCGTACCTCCATGATAAGCTATCTCTGAATATGAATATGAACTCTCCAAATGAATTATTTATGTTTTGTGTCTATGCACGTGCATGACTAGAAGATATTACAATAAATGTTCACATGAGGTAGTACCTCTGACGTTGGTGGTGTAATTGGCGTTTTTTGTTCGCTCGCCAAAGACTTTCCTTTTGCGTTTAGAGCCTCACTAAGGCTAGCCTCGGAAGGAGATGACAATGCCCCAACGTCACCGTTGTCATGACGACGGACTGCATATTTGACGTCAGAGACAGGTCCGCTGAAACATGTAACAGTTTATAGAAAAGACAAAAATTAATAAGACGTTCACGTTCATTTTTTGTTGACAATCGAGAAAGTATTTTAACCTAATCATCGAAATAAAATGAATGTAATCAGTTTTCCTCAAATAGTTTATTAACAGTGTAGGTTAATGATAATAGAAAATTGTTCGTCAATTTATCGGAGATTTATTTTTAACTGTAATGATATTTTACAGATTACCAATGAAAGACGATTTTAGGGAAGATTGCACCTTCTCTTCAATTGCAATGAAGAGGTTATTTTACAACACTTCTTTCAATGTTGTTCATTGAATGCCGTCCAAACAACTATTGATGATCAGAGTGAGCTGCCTTTATTGGAGGATTGGCCTCAGCTAAGTATGTCTCTTATAAACGTTCACGATATTCCGAAACCTGAGATCATATTATATATTATTAATAATTATATGTAAATCCCAATGAAGCATTGGTATTCTGTTCCACATTTCCTTTCAATATTAGCAATACGGATAAACATGAGGCTGTGGAAGCAAACATCATACGGATGAGATATACGTACCCGTCTTCATCGTGATTATTGACGTCAAGAATCTGAACGTCCAAATCTGCAGGGCTCACGCCTGAGAAGAGGGAGATTTAATCATACTACATTCCACATATTAACACTTTGAGAAACACAATACCGTACACTTTTTCTCAAAATATATAACTCGATGACACATTTATATTGCAAACGTAGTGATATATTTATTCAAATATGTAAAACCTTCGGAGAAACATTAACGTTTTATACATTCACTAAATAATTGGGTTGGCTGTTCAGTCATTGAACACATTTATCACTGTTAAAGAATCGAATGTTAAGCAAGCAAGGAATTGAGCTACCCTGCTGTTATTTTTTCTCGTGTCCTTAATTCTAGGTACCTGGATTGGACTTTGCGATGGCATCCTTGACGGCTTCAGCAACGTCGTTCTTCTCGGCTTCCTTGGTGGGGCCCTTTAGCTTGACGTGGCCGACCTTGCCGGGCTTGCAGTTGCAGTTGTCTATCCCACTGGCCTGGAGACTTCGGTCAATGTCTTCCTGGGAAGGTGGCTGCACAAACAGAGGGTCTGGCGCCTGTCCATCTATTGACACTGTGTAATCAGCTGGTGAGACGGTTTTCCTAAAATAATAATAATAATTATTATAATTTACAGATTAAAATGAGAAATGCAGCAAAGAGGGTTTGGGTGATCCTGGCCACAGTCAGGCTGGTTAGGCTCATCATCAGCTCAGGGCCCTTGCCCCCCTCTACACGCAGCCCAGACAGCGAATGGGACTTCTCCCAAGAAGCACTGCCTAGCCAAACCAGCCCAGAACATTTCGGAGAATGTAAAGACGATTAAATTAAAGACGATAAACGTAAGTAAGGAGAGTTTCAGCGATTTCAAAATTAATGACTATAATTAAGAGTCATGATAACAATGGTTGAAACAGAAAGTAAACCTTCTATTACTGTAGGTCAACTTAGTTCCTAGACTCATGCGTGTCGTACGAGCTGACTTAAGAGGATTGTGTGGCTGGTTGTGTGTGATCATGCTGAAAGCGTGGATCACTGGTTTGCTGGTCCAGACTCGATTATTTAAAGGCCGCCGTGTAAAAGCTCTAACATTGCTGAGTGCGGCGTTCACTCATAGCTGTAAGCCCCAATTCCCAAATGAATGAAATACGAGAGAGACGCACCCTTTGTCATCTACCAGTTCTGCTGCGGGAGTGACAGCTCTTCGTGTCCTCTTGACCTGCAACTGTTTCACATCCACTTCCAGGGAGGTCTCTAGACTCGAGGAGGCTGCAGAAAACATCAATCACAAGACCTAAATTACAACCCACAACTGACTGACAAAGGTGTAAAACTTGCATCATTCAGTAAATCATCCCCGTCTTAAAGATTTGATCTTCCTCCTCCATAAATTAGGCTTTGCATCAGGGTACCGTTTCTCAAAGCGATATCAACCATACAACTTCCATAACTCCTTAATCCGCGAGGAACCAGTTTAGAATTGGTCTTCAGCATTCCATTCGTGACGTACAAGGCGACTAACGGGATCGGGTGGTCAGGCTCACTGACTTCGTTGATGCATATAATCGTATCCCAATTGCGTAGATCAATGCTCGTGGTTTCAATCAGTGGATTGTCTTATCCAGACTCGATTATTTAGCTGGAATACGTTAAACAACAAACAAACAAAAAACAAATACATAATTCCTTCACTTGAACATAAACTTACGATACTCGTAGCGCTAAGGTCGATTTGTGAAACGGGACCGAGAATCACTTATATTTCGTCAGGTGCAAACCATGAAAATCTAACGGTTTCGTGGCAGATTTGAGCTTCCATGTACATGTAATATCAAACTCTGGTGAGAAATAGATACGTGGGATATTACCATTATTCTTGTCGATCCACGACTTTTTCACGGCAGCGGCAACGGCAGTGTAGTTCACGCTGGCTCCCTCCACATGCATCTTCCTCAGCTTCAGCCCCACGCAGTCGCAGAGATGTTGCTGTATGCCGGTGTCGGTGAGGGCTTTGTTAACGTCGTCAGTCGTCGGTGCTGGCCGCAACAGTAGGTCGGGGTCGGTGGAGTTGAGAGACACAAAGTACTGAACCCTTGTGAGCTTCTGCCTGGATGCACGGAGATTGGAGTTAATTGACATGAGATGAGGTGAAATGGGATTTAACTCGGTTAAACCGAACTCGGTTTACCAATGCAAGCCGAAAGAGATACCATGTCCCTGTTCAGCACTGATACCCAACACAGTAAACTGACTCCGCGCCGACCAGTCCTTGTTTTATCCCCTTAATGCCGAGCCAGGCAGGGAAACAACAAGTACCATATTTTAACGTCTTTTGCTATGACGCGGCCAGGGGATCGAACCACCGACCTTCCGTTCTCCTGACAGACGCTCTATCTACGAGACCACGTAGGCGGTCCTGGAGTGAACTGACACTATACAGATACCAAATAATGGTTTACACCGTGGTGTTTAATGTACTTCAGTATCTATGCTGTTTTATAAGATAAAATAATGTCTTTTACACAGAACATGGCTCTCAGGGGTTCGTGTACTGGTGTACTGGGGAGGCTGTGCTCCACGGTCAATGACCCATTTAGTGTCAAGGAATAAAGGTCATGCGATTTGAGACATTGCCTCTATGTGATAGGGTAACATTTGTTAGACTGAAATACACCATTAGATTTGGGTTAGCAGACAAAAAATGAAGTGTTGGAACGGCTTGATTTAGATATGCTAGGGCAACCAATTTGCCCAAGCCGTGCATTGGCGGATCCCCCAATCCCACCAAATACGTCCGTAGTTTGTTATCGGAAGTAAAATTATCTGAGGGAGGATTTTGATATTTTGGACCCCTCCCTTTTAAACAATGCTGGATCCGCCCTTGCTGTGCCTCTCTTTACCCCAAGTTACATACATGTAACGATGAAGCATAATAGCAAATGTCAATTCCCGATGTGTGCCTGTATGAAAATGATATTTGATAACGAGGAAACGAAATCACTCAAGTTGTGCAGTTTAGTATAGATTCTTACCATTGTTTATCGACGTAAACATTGACATCTCTGATCTCACCAGACACATTTGTTGATTCTCCTGAACAGGAACAGAGAAGTGACATTAATGGAAAAAGACCTGTCCGATAATACGAATGGTAATGTATCTCGTTTTTCGTAATCTTGAAATATAGTGATTGCGTTGAATTCCAATGCCGATTTTAGCAATATTTGAACTATATTAGGTGTTATTAGTGATACAGTGATTGCGTTGGGTTAAAATATTCCAGCAATATCACGACGTTTACCACTTTGGTGAAACTCACGAGCGCTGACAGACCATGGAACATAACAGAATCTTTCATACGAACTCTAGGTTTGATCATTGTACCTACTGCACATAATTGTGAACAAATTTAAACTGTGTTTATAACGAGCTGACCGATATATGGAACTTATTTTCTAGTCCCAGACATTTTTGTATATATGGCGTATATATGCTTATGACGAACTACGGTTATTACGAACTAAAATTAGTGGTCCCTTTGAGTTCGTTATAACCATAGTTTACTGTATATGAACATATACATGTAAAAGAACATCCCTTCACCACGTACCTAGACTACCCAACCATGCTTTGTGAATGCCGGTCCGTAACTTAACCAGGTCGATCTTCGAGGTGTAGCCAACCAAAAACAGGTTTCTAACTTTGTAGGTAGGACGAAGCCACACAGACACTCCTGCTGATTGGCTGTCGATGTTGACTGCCATGTTTGCCCTTGTTGGAGAACTCCGGACCCAAGGCGTGATGACGTCACCATTTCTCGTGATGGTGTAGGACACATCTGAGACACGTACGACACCAGAGCTGAATGACAAGAGCACAACGTTCAATCACAACTGTTTTTGAAAATAATAACATATGCATGGTGTGATTATATTTCTGTAAAGAATCGTTAACGGGGAGAAGATGTTAGAAGTTCTGTTAACAAGCCGAAATTATTATCCAAGACTTAAAAGAACACGTGATGATACATCGGTTGATGAACTTAGTGACTTTGGTCACTCGCTTGAACAGACACGCTAAAACTCCAGTTAACTCGGTTAAAAAGAGAGGGTGAGTAAGCTGGATGATTTTACGACGCTTTTAGCAATACTTTGGCTGTAACACATCGGGGACACCAAATATGGGCTTCACACATTGTGTATTCATTTGGGGAATCGAGCCCGGGCCTTCGGCGTGACGAGCAAACGCTTTAACCACCACCTCCTAGGCTACAAAGCGCAAAGATCACTCAAAATACACATTGTCACCACGATGTGAGTGAGTGTCTTTTTGTGTTGCAGTACGATCTCTACAGCCAGGTTACGGTAGTCTAGGCCAGCAAACCAGTGACTAATAGTGTGAGCATCAATCCATGCTGTATGGGTACGATGACACACAGGCCGCTAGCTACAAGGCGCTGTTACCAGATGGACACCATCCAACAGCTAGGCATACTCGACAGTCATTTTAGCCTCGTCGTAATTAGAACCAACAGTCTTCGACTCTTTGGAGTGTGTAAGCACTGACAGAACCTCTGAATGTACGTACCTGTTATAGCCATAATATGATGTCCCACCCACGACGCGGATCTGGCAGGATAGACACTCATCTGCAAGGAACGTACATGTGTTCAAAATTTTACCAATGCATCTAATGGCAAGAGAGTTAAGGCCAAACCAAGTAGATCTGTTGGGGAGACTTATAAGACCCTATGGATTTGTCAGGCGCCGTTTCTACTAAACTTTCATGAGTCGCTGCCAACAGGATATTTTAATACCGATAAAACATTGTGTGCGTCATCGCCAATGAAACAAAGTTCATCTGAAGCATGAGATACTAGTATGTTTTCGCCGTGAGCAATAGATACTTACTTCTGTACTGCTGTATCCATACACCGAGCAGAGCCGTCTCCAGTTTGACAATTTGTTGTGATGTTACCTCTCTCATTATCAGTGACTCTACTTTAATGCTATACATTGCTTCAAGTCTGTAAGACACCTTCCCAGAATACACTTTCCAAGATGACTTCGCATCCGGTTGATGAGCCTCGATGTCAGCATTGGTTGGCGGAAGGTCGTCATCTGCTTCTGAGAGCCGCGCGTTGATTCTTGCAGTGTATAACACCTGGGTCAGCCCAACGCTGAAATATGGGTAAATGAGTTGTTTCTGGTTTCAAGACACTTTCAAAAGGATTTCATCTCTATCATGGCGTGTGGCCGTAATGTTAAAAGAGCATCGATATGTTGTGCCGACAGACCAACTTAGGGACAGCCCATTTGATATTCCGGGGTGAGGTGTTGGGGTGGGTGGTGTCCCGGGAATTTTTCGAAAAATATATATTGTCCCCGAAAATTCTTGAAACAATTATGCTTCAGTCTATTCAGGCGTAAAGTTTTAAATATAAAAAAATATCTGGTTTTGTAGCTGTTGCTGAAACGTATATCTAATCTCGATTCAAAATCACAGGCCCCGATCCCCCAGATCATCAAATGGTCGGTCCCTTAATGGTAATCGTGGGAATTAATTTCCCAGGTACATCATTATGAAATGTTGCCATAGTAACTGATGTTCTCTGAACAATTATATACTTTGGCCACACGGTATTTTTACTTCAGACATTATATTGTATTTATGACATTATTACGACAGTAACTAGTATACACACCCGAATTCCCCGACGAATTTCTCTGTTTTGTGGACAAGAATCTCCATTTTGTCGTACACACCTGTCACAAAGGATAATTATATTCCACATTACAACTTCATTGTATTAAACTACATATCTATTCATAAAAGGCCCATTTCTGGTGTCCCCCGCCGTGATATTGCTGGAATATTGCTAAAAGCGGCGTGAAACCATACTAACTCACTCACTATTCATAAAAGGATTCTTGTTTGATTGATATAAACATGTTACATGTAATTACTTGTGCTCTTATTCAACTACTCACTGTACCTTCTCTCCCTCATTGGCTGGAACCAGTTGGTAAATGGTGAACACGATCGAAAGTTAGACTACCGTTATTGACATGTTAGAAGTGATTCTAACAAACATGTGGACACTTACCTGTTTTATACTGCCATGCTTGCTTAAGAACGTCCAGCAGATTTGTCTGCTGTGCCATTTTCAGAGTTCCTTTAACCAGTAACGTGAAACAGGACTCGTATCTGACCACCGTCCGACCAGTGTAGGCCACAAGGGAAGGGCCATTTGTTCCATTCATGGCACCAAGGACGTCATGTAAAGAGGGGGTCTTCATTGTGTCTGGATCAATCACGCTGGTCCCTCTCAGAGCGAACAAGGACAGCCGTGTCACGATAATGCTGAAATTAGTGAAGATGAGACATTGTTTTACAAGTAAATATAATATTATATGAAGTGATATTTATAAGACAAGGAATAAAGACTCGGCTAGCTTAAGACACAAAGTAGGATGTCCATAGTGTTTACTCTGAAATGACATATTAATCTTTTGAGATAATAAATTTTTGTTTGCTTATTTTAAATTCAATATTTGTGTATGTACAGTCCAGTGGTGTAATAATCTGCAAATAACTGTGCAGCGTACCCTCATCTTGCCAGAAACCTAAACCTAGGTTTCAAGTGATGAACGTCTCTGACCTGCTTTCCAGTTGGGTTTAAACCCTCACTAAGCTGACACATCGCCATATCACCGAAGTACTTACAAAGAGGCGATAACCAAACTCACTCACTCATACATTATTGTTGCAACGTGTATGACACACCCACCTGTTGTCTCCTATGTATTCCTCTGTTGACTGGATATTGATGGTTACAGTGTCATTACCTGGGAAAGGTCAAGTCAAAGTAAACAAAAGTTGTAAAATGAAAGATTATAGATTTCAACTGATTTGAACAGAAGGCAGATTTCCGATATATGGAGTCTTTTATTTATATAATATACTATTGTTTCAGCGCATCCATGATCAAAATCCTAATATAATTGTTTTGAACATTTGGGAGGTTCCTTCAACAAGTATATGGAAGCGGAATATACACAAATTAAAATGATAATGCATTTCTACAATCACGACTAGTCACCTTGTGTTATGGTATAAAGGAAATTAGTAGACATGGTCTGCTTTCATTAAATGGAGAATTTTATGTAGTAATTATAAATAAGGTGTAGATATTTGAAGTGTTTTAGCAATATGCTAAGAAAATATGGAAATATTGATAAAAGACTATGCACGCATCATGTAACCTGCACATTGGAGTCTTTTTAAAAAAGTAACTGAAAGTCAAAGATCAGTAAGATCAGTAAGACCAGTCAAAACACTCTGTTTCCCCCAGTGCTTTGTTTTGTTTGTTTGTTGTTTAACGCCGCACTCAGCAATATTCCAGCTATATGACGGCAGTCTGTAAATAATCGAGTCTGGACCAGACAATTGGGATACGATGACATCCATCAACCAAGTCAGCGAGCCTGACAACCCGATCACGTTAGTGGACTCTTACGACAGTCATAGTCGCCATTAACGGCAAGCATGGGTTGCTGAAGACCTATTCTCTACCCGGATCTTCACGGGTCTTCCCCGAGAGCAGGGGTTGAACACAAGATTATCACCTACAGCCTCCGTGTTGTACAAAATGTATCTACTTCAAAGGTAAGAAAGCGTGATACATGACATGACTTAAAGGACAACCAAAATTGATTTTTTTTAAAATGAGCATGACTATTATCCTTTTGCAGAAGGTTGGGTGCCAATTGTATTCCTTATTCTTGGATACATATCCAAATGATACAAAAGGTAAATAACCAATAATTATCTATTCGACTCACTGTATATCCTATCCCATGACGTCTGTAAGGCCATCTTCACACTTACTTGGTCCCTGGTTTTGATACGACCTATAACTGAGATACTAAACTGCTCGTCGGCACGAGCATAATGCATGGACACTGACGATCTGTTGATCAAATCATAATTATCTCCCTTGATCGACGTAAAGTTGAGAGTTATCTTTTCCTTGTTGAGACTACCGTAGTTGAGGGGTGTAATGTACTTATTGTTCATCTTAACGAGGAATAACTGCCTCCATGCTGTCGACCTGAAACAGAAAACGGTCATCCAGTCGCCCGAAGATGTTACAGTAAAATAACTAAAGTAACACTGTTGATGATGATTTCGATCAGGAATCATTGTTGCTTCTGCAGCTGTAAGTCTCTGAATTTCCTGTGTGAAAGGAGTCGGGTCCAAATTAGCAAACCTTTATCCCCAATCACATGATCACTATGCCTAAATATGAACCACGGATCACTCTAAAATCATCATTCTGCATATGCAGTAAGATGTCATTGTCAAGCCACACTGTGCATGATAATACACACTGCGTGCGTGCGTGCGCGTGTGGCTGCTTGTGCTAGTCCCAAACTCACGCCGGTTTCAGTGCCGACACACTGACATACCATGCCGCAGTTTAACATGGACACCCCACTCAGACACAGTATACTGACTCCGAGCTGACCAGGGCCCACTTGCACAAAGCAATCTTAGCGCTAAGACTATCGTAAGACTATGTTAAAGTAAAGGAGTTACGATCATCCAAGCGTAAAGACCGCTTCGTGCAAGAGGGTCCTGTCCTTGTTTTGTCACTTAATGCAAAGACCCACTAAGAGCAACAATAAGTACCATCTTTTAACGTCTTTTTGTATGACGTGGCCTTGGAACGAACTACCGGCCTTCCACCCTCCGGGCAGACGCTCTACCACTAGACCACGAGGTTGTTATTTGTTGATAAACCCATGGGGAATTCGGGTTAAAATACGTCGCCAGCAACCAATGCTTGACATTCGAGGCACATACATAAATCCCGTGGTGAGACTCGGTGATTGCGAGACGCTGTACCCTGAAGGCATGAGGCGCTGCTCTCAATACAAATCACTGGTGTGTCTGGGACACACCCCAGTATCTGCTACCCGCGGTCGTATAGCCTAAATATCGCGGCGTTAAACAACAAATAGACAATCAGGTATAAACGTCAAAACTAGCATATGAGGGCTTCAGTAGCTCTCCTGGTCGTCTCGTAGATGACTCAGTTGGCATTTTTAGAAGTTGGTAACCAGCATAATAGAATAAAGAAGTTGTCATCCATAAACAACCTTGTCTTTACCGATGACGCAATTGTTGTTTAGTTAGAATATATATGGAAATAAACATCCATGACTTACTTTGAATCCGTTATGTGTTTAAACTGAGTCTGCCCCTTCCATTCAACGTGTATGTTAGTTGAGTTGTCACCTGGTGAAATATGATAAAATAAAATAAGAAAAATATGACTTTCCCAGTCAGTTTGGAGAATTTCCAACCTTCTGATGCTAATGATTTTGAGAAACATTTAAAGAAGAGCTGCATCCATTAAACCGGATTTAAACAAATATATTTGATTGATTAGTGTAAAGTTTTGATCACTTTTCCGAATATACTCCTCCATCTAGGTTCCAAGAAGGCAAAAGGAACATTAATCCCCGACTACAATGACGTATGAAGCTCCCATCAGTCTAAACCCTTACATAAAGAGCCATAGCGACATCAGGTCATATTTGTTCGGTGATATTGATATGAAAATAACAAAATTACGACAAACCTGGCACAATATTTTCGATGGTCTCCTGCAGAGATGCTGTAAAATGAGTGACATCATCCCGGAACACCTTCCTCGTGACGTATAGTTGATACACTTCCTCCATCCTCACCGTCTCCGTGACGTCAACTATTGTATACGTCAGGCCACGAGGACTCGTGACGTTCACGCTCTTCATTATGACGTCAGCCGAGGCCTGCACTATCTTCTGTGACGATACCAAGGTGTTGTTCTTCTTTAGGACATATGATAACTTCCACACTGATTCACTACGACAGACAAACAGTAAAATATGAACGATACGCGAACATCGATGGCTTTCTTCTGAAGGCGACGAACAAATACATGTGTGAAAACAGATGTTCTTATGGCCGATAACAAAAAAAAACAGAAAACATAAAAGTCAGCTGATTTCATATTTTTTCTTTCTTACCGTTGAATATATCATATTATTATGTTTAAATCTGAAGCCCCTGATCCACTAAACGATACGAGCGCAGCTCACGTTAGAGTAAGTCTGTTTACAACACCATAATGGTTCTTTAAGTGAGTTTGACGGGGACCCTAGTTTGTTAAGGAGTGGCTACTCATCATTAAATATTCAGTGAACATTTCGAAACCTCGTTAAACCAGCAAAATGTAACATACAAGATCAGTGCTTTTTGTCATAAAATGTTTCCGAATCGTTAGCACGAAAACTAAACCATCATGCGGTCTGCGTGAACAAGGTTCCTCCATTGCTGTGTCTTACCCGTGGGAGTCGAGTTCTTCCTCTTGTTTGCATACTGTAGCTGTGGCACCTGTTGAAGATATATCAGATTAGGAAACGTTTTCTTGAGGATTTCTGGTGTGCTTTAGTGGACATTGACTGGACCAGTGTATTGAAGTATTTACAATACAAACATTATTCATGCAAGCCGATATCTTATAGGTTTTAGAAACAGACTTGTAAATGCGAGAATTGTTAAAATATTTGGACTATAAAAGTTTGGTTGGTTGGTTTTAAAATACCGAGGTTGAAATATTTTTAGATGCAGCGTTTGCATGTACATTGTACGACTGCTTCTTACACCGGCTTTCTCAACTGGTTGCGTTAATATAGCCAATCATGTACATATATTTTATGTAATCTACAGTGATTGGGTGGTGTGGTGTGTTACAGTTTTCTAGTCACATCATTAAGGTACCATAATTACAGTGTTGTTGAATGTGTAGAATTTTAACAACGGTGCCAATCTCACTGTGAAAACATTAACAGAAACTTTATCTTTCTTATGTTCTGCAGTACCATTTATGTCATCTTTCCAGAACGTCGCAAGGGATGTCTCGAACTTTGTATAATCTATGGCAGCCACTCTGTGTTTGATATGCAGGGAGAAGAGGTCCGTGTAGCGGTAGATTGTCTCAGCAACGGTCACGCCCAGGAGGATATGGGAGTAGTTGGTGGACGTCGTGGTGAATTTGGTGTTGAGAACTGCCTTGATCTCAGTGACGCTGAGTCCGACCTCTGATCTTGAGTCAACCTTTTTGGAGTCTCTTTCTGAAGAGTATGACACTCTCCAAAACGTTTTACTGGAAACGACAGAGTGCAATTTTAGCTCGTCTTTAGTTATTATATTTGTTGTTGTTTTCTATTAACGACATCCTAGGAGATACTTTATGTATGCCAACTTCTATATTGTTAGGAACATAATGTTTCGGAGAATATTCCTACTCACACATCATCTGATGAAGCAGTAAGCATATACCCCGAAACGTTGTAAAGAAGTCGAGATCCATAACTTCATTGTATCACTTCTACATGCCATTCAAATATCTAATGACAGTAGTTTTACTGCCAACACTTGAAGACAAACTAACAATCTGATATTGTAGAAAAGACAAACAACAACCAACCTGACCTTTAAATGAATAATAATAGAACAGCCATCAAGAGTTACGTCCCTTAGAATTTACATCCTAACATGGACAACTTTGACGAAAATTAAGTTGTATTTCTGAACGACCACCTCTCGAAATTTAACCAGAGGTCCAGCGAAGCACCAAGTGACAATGGCTACGGTGACCTTGGTAATAATACACAAGGAGATGTCAACAGGGAAGTTATTCCATGCCACAATCATACCTTAACGACGTTCCGTCAGTAAGCTCTTCTTGTAGGAGTATCCGTGAAGTGACATTAACCACACTACTTGATGCTGAAATGATAAATGACATCTCACAGAATATTCACTTATTACCTTCTGTGAGGTTGAATATAGATTACATGGTTTGTTGAAATGGATCGTTAGACACGCCAGAACGTAAGCGGGTCTCTTTAGTTGTACTTACGTATTTACGTATGCGAGACTCAAATATAAGCATCTACCCGTTTCGTGAACACCTCGTGAATTCACAGATTTTCAGTGATCCATTCATATTATTTCAGGGGCGGTCGGGTAGCATAGTGGTTAAAGCGTTCGCTCGTCACGCCAAAGACCCGGGATCGATACCCGACAAGGGTACAATGTGTGAAGCCCATTTATGGGGCCCCCCGCCGTGATATTGCATGAATATTGCTAAAAGCGGCGTAAAACCATACTCACTCACACACTCACTCATATTATTTCACCCTCTTTTTTGCCTGTTCCGCCTAATGGAATCTGTTTCGGCCGATAATCGAGAAATGCAGGTACCCTTATATGACTACGCGTTGTGATTTGTCTAAAGGTCTTGTTGGTCTGTGTGTTCACTAAGACTCACCAAACTTTGTCTTCCAGGCGACCTCTAGTCTTTGCTGAAACTCGTGCGTGTCCCGCAGCAGGACGGGCGATGCCATGTAGAACGCAAACAAACTTTCGTAACGCAACAGCGTCATTTCAGTTTCCAGGACAACTTCATACCTCTCCTTAAACCATGAAGTCAGTGTTGCTTGAATTCTGGTCTCGTTCTGAGGCGGGAGTTCGTCCGCGGTCAAAGTTTTTTCATCCATTTTGAGGAAGTAAACGAGTCTTGATATAGTGTTGCTGAAAGAGGAAGTTTTGATATGACGTACATTCCAAAAATCCGGTTACTAAGAACAGCGATACTTACGGGGGAAGTACCAGTTAGATATACACGAAGTCGTTTCAAAACACGCATACTTTAACAAAGTCGTTTCCGTGAAATCGTTCGAATTAACGTTTTTCCAGAGTGACGAATCGTGTGCATGGTATACTACATAGACATGTTTAAAATAGTCGCCATGACAACAGTATTTCCGAATAAGTGGGGTCCACTTACCCATTTATGTCTACGAGTTCCTCCTGTCTTGACACCTCTACAGTGATCGCTTTCTCCTCTACTGATTCTGGGGGAATATAACGAAATGGTAGGTTCATGCATGAATGATTTGTACCAAACCTTCTCTTTGATTTTTATCAACTGGAAATATTTTTTGTTAATTCGTTTCTGTCAAACATAAAATAAGGACCGGTTTTGACAATATGTGACCTGGATGATTACGTCATCGTTCCCGGGTGGCGATAATTACAGCTTAAGGTATCAACCACTTCTATGCCTGGCCTGGACTTGGTTATTCTCAGTTCATAATTTCAATTTCTCATCAGACGTTAGGCAACATACACTCACTCATTTGCAAATCAAACAATAATATGGAATATTATTTATTCCGGTGAAGACAAGTAATTCACCAACCTCTTAAATGGGGCACGGGTGGCCCAGTCGTGAAAGGCGCCGCAATTCGCTGTGCAGAGTTGCGTCCCTTGGGCACGCCAGGAACCTATGATTGTGGGTTCGAATCCCGGTTCGCCCTGATTATGTTTCTTGGTTTGTCAGCACCATACCCGTGCTCGTGGGTTTCACCGAAGTGGTAAACGTCTGAGACCTGCATCACTTCGGGCTTTCCTCCCACATTAAGCTGACACGCCGTGATATAACTGGATTACTGTTAAAAGCGGCGTTAAACCCAACTCACTCAATCATTCACTCACCAACCTCTTAACGTTGTATTCCACAGGTTTGTCAGTGCCACTGATATGTTGACGAAGTCCACAGTTTTGATGACGTTCTTCACAATAATGCTGAGGCTCTGTTCATAGAGACGCAATCCCTCTCCGGTAGTTTCCAACATCTCTACCACTCCGTGGACAGCCTCTATCTTCAGACTCTTCACCTCTGACATCAGCCGGGTCATATTGATAGTGACCGTCGCCAGCCCCCAGCCAGGAACATAGGACACAACGTTGTCCTTACCACCTTCGTAAATAAACACTGAAAGCTTCCACAACGACGTCCTGAAATCAGTTCATGAAAACTCTGTATAAGTGAGGAAAATCATGTCACGCAGGCGTACAACAAAACAACAGGAAATACCCAATTGGCCGTTATCGCAGTGCCAAACGAATAAGAGGAAAAGGGAAGGAGTATAATGTGCCACGATCGTATTATTAAAGCAGCAAATGGATAGATGGTAGTATGTGCAAACAAAGATGGCTGAGACACATGTCCATGGCAGAAATCAAAACATGTATACAGATCCTTGTAACTGGAGTGAATGGTTTGAGAGACACTCAGAAGAAATTAGTCCAGGTCCGGTAAATTGAATGTCGTAATAAGTAGGATGCAGGAATGAAGAAGACCCCGCCCAAACTGCTTCATAAAGGTTGAAATCGAAATCAGTCAATACATGATGATCTACACGACATATTGTTTGCGACATGCCTCCATTTCACACAGAGCGCTGAAAGTGAGGTTCAGACGGTCTAGTCACTTTTTGAAAAACTTAATTTATTAACATGTAGCGTGTACATTTACTTACCCAGAGATGTCAATCATCTCCTGGTTGCTTAGGATGAGAATGTCAGCTGAAACATGACAATCAATAGTGATAATGTCCAGACGAAAGGTGACAGAAAATAGTATACTATCCAAAGTTATATAGGGATACAAAGCTATTGTTTATTTGCTGCATATAAAAGTATTCAGTCTGTTGTATCGCTCACTAAGATGAGGGTGTTTTCTTTAACTGTAAGCATGTCTCAAAATTATAAAAGGTATGATTCATATTTAAATGTTAAGCAACTGGTAATCCACAAAACAAATCATATATATTTTGGTAAAATAAAACCCAAGTTTTTACTTACTGACAGTTACACTGTATGAAATGTTGACAGCTTGTTTGATTTTAATCAAATGTTCTTCCGCGATTGGAGCAGAGAAATATAGTTCCACTTTGTTACGATAGTCGATCAGTTCGCGTTTTTGCACTTTCTCAATGGCATAAGCGGAAGCGAAAGTAGCATGGATCTCTGATTGGACGACAGTGACGTTGACGCCAGTGGTGACCTCTGCATCCAGTGAGACGTTGTCCCTCAGAAGTTGATACTCCACCTTCCACAACACCTGTCTGAAATACATCCATTTGGAATCGATTATTATCTGAAGGTTTGACTCAATAGCAAAACTCACAAACTGAATAATAATCTCTTAAACAACTATGACAAATTTTGCCAGCGTTACCAAAGATGAAAAACACTTACCCTTTGACAGTAATGTATGGAATTTGCCTCAAAAACCGAACTGAGGTGCAGCATTCTGCAATAGAAGGAACTAGACATACAAACACAATTAAATAATCCATACAACATTTTATCTTATTAATCCGTTATCACTGCAGCTTTATAGTTACCCGACGTATTTCAATTTTCAAAATATTATTTATTATTGTTGTACTAATAATGATATGACTGAATGTTTTACTTGAGGTAATTTGATAACGGAAACGACATATACATTGTCATACATAGAGTCACATCTCAATTATCCAATTGTAAATTTCATCACGATTGTCATTGCTTTTGAAGAGTATACTTCATTTGAAATTTAGGAACTATTCACATGGTTTCAGAAGTAATTATGCTGTGGCAGAATTTCTGCATGACACATATTTTTATGAATATATCATCGGATCATAGGTTTTCGGACATCGTACGTTTTTGGACGGCCATGTGTATTATCGCGATTACTCGCGCTATAACGGGGGAATGGGGTGGGGGTGCAGCATCACACAGATATTTTAGACACTAAGATGACGGAAAACCCATAACACTGAGATACTATAAAATACCTCCTTTGTTGTTGTCCACTTTATAAGCCTTTTCAATCGATTTCTCCATCCTTGACCAATGGTCGATCCTGACCTTCTTCTTCAAGAAGAATCCAAACAGAGTATCTACCCTTGTGGTCACGCCAGCCACCACTTCCACAACACTGTTATGCTGACCCTGGACTGACCGGATGTTCTTCAGTTCCGATTTCAAGATGGTGGTACTCAGCTTCCGGTGTGTCATGGCGTCAACCATTGTGGTATTTTGTTTCATGAAGTACAGGACCTTGTAGAATGTGTTTCTGAAGCGAGTAAAGGAAATGCAAGGAAACCGGTATATACCGTGTGTTAATAGAGTCAGTTGTCACTGGAAGCGTTTCCTAAACTAGCGGGCAAAAGAAACGCTAACAAATAAATAATGGTCGTCAGTTTTCAACAAATTTGCCAAACAGCACGAAGACAGTTGGAAACACAAAGCTGAAAGCAACTGACTATTTCCTGTGAACATGTGCACGTGCTTCACGTGATTTGCGTGGAAAGTGAATTTAATCACTAAAAACATGCAACATGTGCACAACGTTACCCGTATGAAATTGTTTGGTGGCGTTTCTTTTGCCCGTTAATTTAGAAACGCCAGAGTTGTGGAATTGAAATATTTTGGAGATGGATAGAGTTCATTAATCATTCTTTTACTATTATGCACAACCTATAAACATATGAACTGTGTTTTTCAATTTATTGAGTTTATTTTTGCTATATATGCCTGGTACCTACCCCTTGCTGTCTATAACTTCACGTATGGATCCAAGAACAAAATCCAGGCATGCACACGCTTTGTACTCTGAAAATATTAAAATAGTAAACCATTTATTGTGATTTTTTATACGTGTACATGTACATTAATGAAACAATCAGATTAATATTATCAACCAGTTATTAAATATTGCTGCAGACACATGACGATGCACTAAAGCTCTTACATATAAATTCTACAAACAACGTTGTGTTAAAAAATACAATTGCATCATTAACCCGAAATATAAAACGGCATTGAATACATCGACCTACCGTTAAGGGTGGACCAAGATCTGTTGAGGGCTGACTTTATCTCTAACCAGGAAGAGAAAGACACATTTTTCTCCATGTAGAATGAGAAGCTGTTTCGGAAGTCGAAGTAAGAAGTGGCTGTTTGGTTTGATAGTATATTGACGCGGTGGCCAGTGGACGTCACCAGCTCAAAGTGGGGCCAGGTCCCGTTCAGGGTAGACAGGGGGCTTAGCGTCCTTCCATCCACCTTGATTGAGAACAGGTACTTCCAAGCACTCTCGCTATAGGAGAAGGAGGAGACGATATATGAATAATATAGGATCGACCATTTCCTATTTTTGGAGGATTGTAGGTGTGCGAGTGTGGTGTCAATTCAAGACCATATTAAACACAAACTCCCACATAAGAACTGCCAGCACGATATCATATTAAGTTTTCATTACGTAAACGTGTCATCATTAGACCCTTTTCATGAATAAAAGTATAGTAATATGACAATAATTCGTCAGTTTAGGTATCAGTGCAATTGTTGCTGTTATTTAGTTGGGGTTCTTGAAAAATTATGTCTGATCGAAATTCCCATTTTGACTGTGTTTTTTTCAAGTGAACAACTGGCTTGCCTTACATGTGTTTGTGGCGGGTTTCACAAGTGGGGCAGAATATGGGGCTTGGGATTTTTTAGTCAGGACATTGTTTGAACCATTGCTTCCCAAACGTAGTGTTTTGTTTCAGGACCGCTATCATGTCCAACCTGACAAGAAATTATTTTTTCAGGATCGAATTGATATATTTTGACAATCACACGTAGTTTAAGCATGGATGCTATGCACATCATACCCCAGCGACGGTTTGAGGTTCAGGTAAATAAGTACAGCAAGGTAGACTGAACTGGGGTAAACATACAATGTTCTCGTTGTCACTTCTTCGTGTTTCAGGACATCCACTGTGATACTTGCATTCTCCATAACTGAAAAGAGAGGTGGAAATATTTTATAAGTATGAAAACAAACAACAGCGTTCTGCTATTTATTATTATCAATACATGGTTACCACCAATGTCTAAGTGATACAATGCCACCCCTATAATGACATTATTACAATATTTTTCATGTAGTTTAGTTGTCTGATGATTGAACTACTCTAAGAACCAAGCACTTTGCCAGTTGAAAATAGGATTGGTACTATATTAAAACGGCTAACGCCTCCTGAAGCGTATAGATAGTGCAGTGTTATTTCCAACCTCGGTGATATGCAAGCATTGTTTAATTTCTCACATCTGCCAAATAGGAATACCAACACAAGTGAGAATGTACCTTTCAGCTGTTGTCTGACTGTTGTCTCAATTGTTTCTTTGAACTTCAGTTCTACCTTCTTGTCAAACTTGGCACTGAGGAACAGACTGAAGGTCTGGTCTGCCCGGAATAGGTGGTCAACAGAAGTCACCACAGTGTACGACTGTCCGTTTACGTCTGTCACATTGGCGATTTCTTCAGCTAGTAGAGTGGTGACATTCTTGTATTCCTCCACGCTTGAGTCCAGCACAACTGCAGTGTCCGTTGTGTTGGTGGTGGACACGAAGTATACCAGTTCCCAGTACGATTTGCTGAAATGTTCACAGTATTAAGAGTTGTCTTTTCTCATTTAGTCATGATCACACAGGTTTTGTCATTTGTTTTGTGTGTTTGATGTTTAAAGGACTCTATATTCCAGCTATTTGAAGGCGGCCTGTAAATAATCGAGTCTGAACCAGACATTTGATATTTCGAGCAGTGATACACGCTAAGGGGGAACGCGGGGTATCAACCAAGACACCAGACCACCTGATCCATTAAGTCGTCTCGGGCGGCAAGAAAGGGTTACTAGGCGACTTCTAACCCAGAATCTCCAATGTGGCAGATATTTTAAAAAGATGTGTCTAAATAACCCTGCTTTGAATATCAAGAGTCCAAAAAAATCACATACATTAATGTACCGTTTTTGTCAAAGATTGTATGGCACTTTGATTATTAATGCAGTTATTTGAGGACATCATTTTTTTTACCAATACTTTCATTTAAAAAAGTCTTTAGACAATTACGACTTACCCGGACTTGTCGATCACTTCTTTTTGGGTAGAAATGTCAATGCTTACGTTGATTCCTGAAACAAAGTTGTTCAAAGTTGTCCTCGGTCGTGTAACACCGTGTCAATGCTCGTTTCAAGAAAGATGTTACCTCTACGACCAGCCTCGGTCTGGAACACTGTTCAAAGCGAGGTTGAAACCCAACTCACTAACTCACTCACATACGCAACTAAAATATACTAAAAACAAGTTGAGGACCACCCGAATCTTTCACATTGCTTTTGTTAATCTGTCACGGAATGAAAGATTAACTACAGCGATATGAAAGATTTGGGTGATCCTCAACTTGTTTTTAGTATATTTTAGTTGCGTATGTGAGTGAGTGAGTGAGTTGGGTTTAACGCCGCTTTGAACAGTATTGCAGTTATATCACGGCGTGTCAGCTTAATGTGGGAGGAAAGCTCGAAGTGATGCAGGTTTCAGACGTTTACCACTTCGGTGAAACCCACGAGCACGGGTATGGTGCTGACAAACCTAGAAACATAATCGGGGTGAACCGGGATTCGAACCCACAATCATAGGTTTCTGGCGTGCCCAAGGGACGCAACTCTGCACAGCGAATCGCAGCGCCTAAGACGACTGGGCCACCCGTGCCCCCCAGTTGCGTACGTGGAATACACTATATTATCGTTAACGTGTATAACATACACTTGCATAGTTTAGCCACTTACCTTTCTTTAGGGTCCATGCACTTTCCAGTCTCTCCTTCATCGCTTCAATGTCTTTTTGTGCAACTTTTACACTGAAGTATATCGGGAAGTGTTTGGCGTATTCTAAGCTCGACGTCTCATCTACCAAGGTATAGTTGTCTCCCCTTGATGTAACAACAGCCACGAGTCTAGCTTTCAGCTCTTGCTTCAGCTTCAGCTCGTGGATGGAGAGGTCAGTGCGGGTCAAAATTGTTGAATTCCATTTCAGAGAATAAGTCCACCCCCAAGATGACTTCCTGTAAGTAAAGTACTGTTAAGGGAAGCGTGTATACAAACAATGTGATTATTTCAAACAAACCCGCCATTAAATACAAACTGGTGTTGATTTACATTCAAACCTATTATGATCCACATTCTAGTGTAATGTGTAATACATACATTCATAAGCAGTGTAGTACTATATGGTACTATAATCAGTCACACTGATAAGATCCGGGGTAGAACAGGTCTTCAGCAACCCATGCTTTCCGTAAAAGGCGACTAACTGGATTGGGTAGTCAGGCTTGCTGACTTGGTTGATGCATGTCATCGTATCTAAATTGCGTGGATCGATGCTCATGATGTCAATCACTGGATTGTCTAGTCAAGATTCGATTATTTACAGAACGCCGTCATATAGCTGGAATATTGCTGAGTGCGGCGTTGAACAACAAACAAACAAATTACACCTACCCGTTCTTCATGACGTATTCATTTGATGCTTTGAAATCAATCAGCAGTTCGGACTCTGAAAAACATAAAAAAATTCATCTGATTTTGTTGGCCATCAACAACTAGCGTAACATGAAAGACATTATCATAATTTCGAGTCATTAATATATTTATGATGATGCACATGCCACACATGGATACGCTTATGTCTACATTACTATGTTTAAACGTTGCAAAGTTTGGATGTGGAGATCACTGGCTGAAAATGTTGATGTTCGTACTATCAACCATTGGTTCATCTTGTTTATCGTGACTGTAATATTGCTGACCGCGGCACAATACAACATTTCGTCGCTCACAAACGTGTGTCTCGACAGCCAGTGAGTGAGTGAGTGAGTTGGGTTTAACGCTGCTTTTAACATTATTCCAGTTATATCACGGCGTGTCAGCTTAATGTGGGAGGAAAGCCGGAAGTGATGCAGGTCTTAGACGTTTACCACTTCGGTGAAACCCACGAGCACGGGTATGGTGCTGACAAACCTAGAAACATAATCGGGGCGAACCGGGATTCGAACCCACAACCATAGGCATCTGGCGTGTCCAGGGGACGCAACTCTGCACAGCGAATCGCGGCGCCTTAGACGACTGGGCCACTCGTGCCCCCCCCCCCCCCCCCCGACAGCCAGTGCAATAGAACATCTTAATAAAACCCACCGTAAACATTTCGATTAAGTAATGACTGATAACAGAGAAAACAAAGTTATAAAAACTTTCAAATCTTACCTGAAACATTCAGGACTTTAGCCCACGACGCCCGTACTGCTTCTGAGATTTTGGTGACGTCAGTCTGTGACATTGGCCTGTTGAGTCTTAGTTCATGGAGCGAGACGGTTGTGTGAGTCTCTGCCACACTGACCTCGGACACACCGTTCTCTATACCATTCGGTCCCTTGAATACCCATAGCTTCTCCAGATCTTTCCTACTGGGGATTTTGAGGTAAGAGGCGTCCACCTTGGCACCGTTGACGTACACGCCATAGTTCAGACGCCACACCGTCTCACTGGAACATGGCAGAAAACACAATGTGAAAATCGTCAAAATCGGATATGTGTTCACATTGGTATCCCTGTTATAAGTGAAAAACCCCAGAGGTATCCATACTAGTATCTCTGTTATAATGAAATAAGCAGAGTAATTACTCATAGCAAAAGTGAAGTGACACTGGCACAATGAGTGAGTGAGTGAGTTGGGTTAAAAGCCGCTTTTAACAGTATTGCAGTTATATCGCGGCGTGTCAGCTTAATGTGGGAGGAAAGCCCGAAGTGATGCAGGTCTCAGACGTTTACCACTTCGGTGAAACCCACGAGCACGGGTATGGTGCTGACAAACCTAGAAACATCATTGGGGCGAACCGGGATTCGAACCCACAATCATAGGTTTCTGGCGTGACCAAGGGACGCAACTCTGCACAGTGCACAGTGCCCCCCTCCCCTGGCACCGAGATTATTGTGGAAGCCGAGTCGAACGTCTCCATCCGAAACAGGTATTGTTTTGACCCCTCACATCCGTATTCAGTGCTACCTACCCTGAGTCAGTAACCAGCTCCTGTTGGCCAAGGATTTTCACTGACACCTTTGTGGTGTTAGACGTTATCAAGTCTGAAACATTGTTAATTAAACACGGTCATCTCTCGTTAAAAGGGTAGGAGACAACAGAAGCTGCTTATCCGGTTTGCAGCTTATCCGAGTGTTTCAAACTTGGTTTTATCAAAATGACATTTCAACATAAATGACAGATAGTAGTTATTCTAGATGTCTTTGAAAAAGATTTAAAACCATTTACCAAGATGCTTTCCTATTTATAAGTTGATTTCAATGATAGTAATGATCAGAGAAATCGGTAAATATCATTCAGAGTCAGTACGTGGTTGTCTCGTTAAAGTTTTGATAAGCTGATAAGTTGCTGTTTATTCTTAAACGGTAACATACACTTGAAATGTACAGCTTTATCAATTAATTAATAACTTACTCAGTTCTCCCACCACGATTTTGTTGATAGGTTTTGTCTATGTGGCCGTTATCTAAAGTTGATTAACGTCAATGGCCTTGGTCTCGTGGGATGGTAAACGCCTACATTTGTGGTTGGGCTTTACCTCCGACATTAACCTTACAAGCCACGACATAATTGAAATCCCTGTTCACAACATAACTAATGCCTGAGAGAGTTAACTGTAATATTCACCTGGGTTAGTTTTGACGATGACCTGGCTGAGTTTCGTCTCAATATCTGAGTAACTGCTGGTTGACACCTTGGCCTTCATATTGATTCCAAATATTGTTTTCTTGCTGTGGACGTGGGTTGTACTGCCGAACTTCAGCTTGTACTCCAAACCGAATCTGGACTTAAAATGAAACCATCTCAGGAAATCCTTCTCCTCTGTTGTGTTTATTGGTGATGGGCGAATCGTTTTTCCGTTCTCTTTCACGGAGTATGTGAGTTTCCATTCCGACTTGCTGAGAAGTTCAAAAATAATAATTCAGTACATGAAATAAATTGATGAAGGTCAAAGAAAATCAGGTTTAGAAAAGGTGTTTTTTAAAACCTGCCTTAGATTTTATTTAAACAATTTGTCCTAATCATTAATCAGTAATATATTTTAGTAAGTCAATCGTAAAGATACCATTAGGTTATACCAACTCAAAATATTTAATATTATAACGATAACAAGTGTGAAGGGATCCATTTACCCATCTTTCGTTATCACTTCTTCTGCGGGACCAACAACAATGGAGATGTTGGAGGATGCACCTGAAACGGATTGACATGAATCCTTAAAGCATGAAAGTTGTAGTGAATTTCTGGTGTTTCGTCATAGACGTCCCCCTATGATAATCTTATAGGTCTATATACCTTGGTATTAACGGTTAAATTTGGAACTAATAGACGAGCATTGCAATTTCATGTTCACTTAACATTAGTGTTCCTCATAATAAAGAAGTTGACATCCATATATTCTTTTCCTTATATGTATTACTTCAAAATGCCCTTCAAAGACACTAGGGGCGGTCGCTTACCTAGTGGTTAAAGCGTTCGCTCGTCACGCCGAAGTCCCGGGTTCGAATCCCGACATGGGTACAATGTGTGAAGCCCATTTCTGGTGTCCCCCGCCGTGATTGTGCTGGAATATTGCTTAAAGCGGCGTAAAACCAAACTCACTCACTCACTCAAAGACATTAACATAAGTTTATCCTTGACTAATCTAGGACGTTTCTAGAACGCGTTGTTGATAACATACCAGTCTTGTTCCTGTAGTACTCTTCCAGGGATGCTGTAAACTTGGCATAGTCCTCCTTGTGGATGGGAGACTTGACGTAGATAGATCCGAGGTTTTCACTCGACGTGTACGTGTTACTGCCCGATGCCTCTACGTTGACCTCGAGGCTGGTATTAGATGTCTTCAGGATGGTTTGTATTTGTGTCGTGTTGACGTGAGTTTCTTCAGGTTTGATGACTGCCCCATTCACCTCAATGTGGTAGCCGAGTCTCCACTCCCATTTTCTGCGATAACGTGTAATAACTAATAACAGTTTTGTCCAAAGTATTTGATTTCTATTTCATTGAGACTGAACGGTCCTTTCATTTCTATTTACTTATCTAACTCAAGTCCATTTAATCTGGAGGAATCTGTTTACTGATACACAAGGCTAAAATCCTCCACGTTATGTTAATAGAGCTGTTGGTTTACATATAATTACATCAATATATTTAACACGCACGTGAATGTATTATTTATTCAGTGATTTATTTACCCTGTCTCTGTGAGGACTTCATTCTGAGTATCAACAACAACTTTGATATTTGTTGAATTGGAATATTCTGGAAAAGAATAGATGATAAAATGACATCATGGCTGACGGTATAGCACAATTATTTCGTTAATTTATGTTTCCAAGCTCTTTGAGCCGGCAAGTTACATGTGTTTTGTTTGTTTGTTGTTTGACCACAGACTCGGCATTATTGCAGCTATATGACAGCAGACTTTAAGTAATCGATTCTAAACCAGATAATGAAGTGATTTGATGTTATCACCAATTATCCACGACGTTGGGGTACGTTGAAACGCTATCAACCACGTCACCGAGTCTGACCAACCCATTCACTAAATCGCCACTGACGACCTCTTGCACAGGTTGATGGGATCTGTTCTAACCAAACATTCCCACTGTGTTCAAGTTACATTGAGAATTTGCGACACATGATGTGTACCTGCATTGGTTTTCTTGAACGTTTCCAATATGGCTGCTGTGACGGAAGGGTAGTCTTTCTTCTCCACTCTGGATTTGAAGCTGAGAAAGAACTGGAAGCTCCAGAAGGAGAGGTCAAAGTCGAACCAATGGTAGAATCTAATCGGGAACCTCTGACCGATGTTAAGAGTAAATTTCTCAAGGTCGAACTTGGGCCACGTCAAGAAATCAATTTTGATGCCATCATACTTCAGGAAGTAGTATAAACGCCATATTGAAATGCTGAAACACCAATTGAGTAAGAACTGAAATCAAAATATTGAAGGAACTATACGATCATACATATAGTTAAGGCTGTACTTCTCAATACATTTCCTCACAAATGTAATTCCTAGATTGCGTGAAAAGTAATTATTACAAACCCTTATATTAATCGCAGCTATTACACTAACACAATTGAGGTTAGTTTATCAGGATAGATAACTAGATCTACAGAGTTATGAAAATGAAAAAAATATTACCCTGATGACAACTTTATGTGTGGTCTCCTGATTAGCACGATGTCCATATGGTCACAAGAAAGGTTGTACCCTGCAACATAACGAATAAAACATGTTGAACAAATTTCTCAAAGATATGTTGAATCTTGATTTAATTACTAATAGGGGCGGTCGGGTAGCCTAGTGGTTAAAGTGTTCGCTCGTCACGCCGAAGACCCGGGTTCGATTCCCGACATGGGTACAATGTGTGAAGCCCATTTCTGGTGTCCCCCGCCGTGATATTACTGGAATATTGCTAAAATCGGCGTAAAACCAAACTCACTCACTCACTAATTACTAATATGTTCAAGTGTGTCAAATATACATTGAATCTTGCACTCAGTACGAAGATACTCTTCTACAGACAGGAGCAGAGTGTTAGGAACCGACAAAGCTGACTAACAATTGTACCTTTCTACAGTTACAGTGAATATTATTAAATTTACACTATTGCTAGCAAGGTATATTATGCATCAGTGTATTACCTAGTCCATTTATTTTGTCACACCAGGTTTTACTGAGAGCTTTGTTAACACTCGAGGAGTACTCCGTCACAGATTCACTGGCGATCAACCGGAAGGCGGCTGAGATTCGCCTCAGCACACGCGTATAATCCACGACAGTGTAAGTATATCCGTAGATGTTGGTGAAGTCCAAGTGCACAGTCTCAAGATTCATGCTCTTCCAGTTTCCAGGATATATGGATGTGTTGGTGGAGGTATCGGTCATACAATACACCAGTCTCCAGTACGAAACGCTACACGGAACAGAAGAGTCATCATTGTATCTCGCTTTTGATTGATCAACTCTTCACCAGCAAAAAATACTTTGTAAACGTCGATCCTTAGAGAATATTTTCCTCATATGAGAAGTAGTTTGTACATTTTGTAAAACATAATTTTGTATGTGCAAACTTTGCACTTGGAAAAATGTTTTTCTAATGATATTAAAGTCCATAGTCTTTGACAGGCATTTTCAAGTTGAAAGAACAAAAATGCAAGAGGTAGCCCTGACACGTCGTTACAAATAATAGGAAGATGTTGCTCTTACAAGTTTGAAGTCCTTTACTGATAATAACGTCTAAATGATTACCCACCCAGGAATGTATTCACCTGGATACATCAACATGAAGAGTGATTAAGAAAACTTACCCTTCCGTACTTATAACTTCCTCCACCTCCTGGATCTGCACAGACACGTTAACTTCAACTGAAAACAAACTTGTTCATGTCAAAGCCAAAAAAAGATGACACAGTACTATTTTTCAAATATTCGATTACAGACAATATTCCTGTACAAATGATATTTACTTACTAACGGAAGGTGGTGGGGGGTCATCTATGGCATCCATTAGGTTTGTCAGCACCATACTAATGCTCATGGATTTCACAAAAGTGGTAATCGCACAACACTTGCATCACTTCGGACTTTCCTTTCACACCAAGCTGACACACCGTGATATAACTGACATACGTTTCAAATCGGAGTTAAACCAAACTCACTCACTCCCTCGCTATTAAAGAGATCAACCTTGGGGTTGAGAAACATTACTGAGGGCAGGATACGCTGACCTTTCCGCGGTCTCCTTATATCACCACTATTTGATAGTGACTGATAAACACTTTTATGTTTTTGGATATTCCGATGGTGTTTGTTTCGTGGTTTAGGGTACGGGGATTGGTGTTTACTGATCATAATTCTTACATTGAATCAGCCAAGCCTTCTCGAGTCGGGGTTTGATCTTAAACCAATCTTTTGGAGACACTCTCTCGCGGAAATGGAGGAAGAATTGGTAGGAATAGTCTAGAAGCTGAGTTGTCTCTCCTTGGTACAGTTTGTAGAGTCTGCCGGTAATCCCAGTGACGTTGAAGGACTTGGCCAGGTCTTTCACCTGAACCTTCTTGTGTAATCCTGGGTACACAAGAGCTGAATCCTGGTGGATCACATAGAAGATTCTCCAGTGCCGTGGTCTGGCCACACCACTCGTCCTGAAAAACAAAGGGTCAACTTAAAGCTAGCCATCGACGGACCATTTCTTTAACGGCTTGTGCAGACGCTGTGTTACAAAACTGAATGGAGGTACAATGTTTACTCTATTAAATGGTTTGTTTTGTTAAACACATTAGATTGCAGTGTTGTACAGCTGAATGGGAATTCCGTTATGATGCATTTAGGCCACGTGTTTCCTCAGTACCTCCAGGTTTTTTTTAGTGTGACTCGATCTTAACTTCAAGCATTGCATATAAAAAGCAACTGATGTTGTATGATAGCAAAAATATTGTCCCACGTTGATATTAAGAGCAATTAAGCAATTGATCAGTCCCCCTGTAAGAATCGTGTTAAAAATGTTGAATTTTATATTATTAACAATTATGCGTTATTTAGTGCTTGTGGTTCTAGTAAGGTTTTTGTTTCCACACACTGTACTTACTGCGTCACTTGTTGAAGAAAATATTCCTCCTGTTTTATTATCTTCACTTTCACGTCCTTGTTGAGGTCTATAATCACAGATAATTGTCATTAACATTCAAAACAATGACATCAAATATATTCGTTATGAATATATTACATGTTTTACGTAATGTTATTTTGCCAACACTACGGTGCATACACACTGGTACTGACACCGAATTGGATTATTGAATAAGCAAGATCCTGCCTCGAAATGTATTTCAAACTGTCCATTGTCACTTTTTCATTTCTTCTACATTGACTTTGCATTGATTTTGTTTTCCGAAGGTTAGTAACATGACGTCTATCTGGTACAAAAGATGCAACCACCTACATACTGGATATATGACTACTATAACACTGCATACACTATATCAATATGTGTGCCAAAATGTTACTCATCCTATATAAATCCAATAGTGCTAGTGAGAAGGTGTCTGTTTTGAGCAATATTCCAGCCATAGAGTGAGTGAGTGAGTATAGTTTAACGCCGCTTTTAGCAATATTCCAGCAATATCATGGCGGGGGACACCAGAAATGGGCTTCACATATTGTACCCATGTCGGGAATCGAACCCGGGTCTTCGGCGTTCCAGCCATAGAAGTGCATGGGGATGCTAAAATGGTCTTCACACTTCACTTATCTAGGTAATCCAATACTTTACTAAAATCAATAGAGAGAGTGAGAATGTCTCTGTTCTGTACAATGGTGCATATATATAATGAGGGAGCACAACTAAATGGTCTACACATCTAAAGAATCAAATACTCGAAGCCGGATCCTTGGCGTGACTAGCCAACGCTTTGACCACTAGGTTACCCAACCACTCACAAGAAACAATAACACTATTTATTGGAAACGCAACACAGTATCTATAAACATTCTTACTTAAATGTTGCTGCAGGTACTTGCTGAGCTGTACTTCAACACGAACGAAATCCAACCGTGCTAACTCCGTCTCAAAGTACAGATCGAAGGTGTATCTCCTGGAGTATAACGTCTCCTTGCCCGTGTACAAGTTGTAGTTTTGGTGTTTGTTGTAGCTCAGACTAAACAGATTCCTTTTAACTTTTCCATAAAATCTTTCTTTTGCTGTAGCTTTCTCAAGTGGGTTGGTGATTTTGACCAGCGATGCTTCCGTCCTTGTGAACGTGTAGAAGAGACGTGATACAATCATCCTGTGAAGAAGAACCAAACGCGTAAATGTACCTCCACTGCTATTGAAGAGGATGCTCATCAACAGTAGAATATCTACTGCGACCACTCGATAGATTATGTCTTTTTTTCCATATTTAGATATTCAAACACTTAACGCAGCTTTTCCATTTTGAAGGGAAATATGTCCATTTAAATGTATTATGGAAAACATGAAGTTACTTAACATGATCTTTATCTAATCTAGGTCTCATATAACGTTCAAATGTAAATAACGGACTTCTGTCACTGTGTATACACCCTTGGAATGTCCCCAATCACATCACCTTGTTGTAAGGAATGCTTAATCATGATTGGATGGTTGTAATGTGGGCCCTGACTGGCCCTGTGTCATCGTGCCCTGACTAGGTGATGGTCATGTTGTTAATGTTGTCATATTGTTAATGCTGTTATGTTGTCAAGCGCTGGTCAGCGTGGATCCCACTCTACATGGAGTGCTGGATCTACTTATAGGTCGTCGTGTTGTAACTGGAGTGATACAAGCGCCAAACAACATACAGAACTCTCAATGTGACATTGTATAGGTTGTTGGAAAAGTGCCATGCGTTCCCCTGTCCTGGCTAACTTACCCTTCTTCCGTTACCATCTCCTCCACTGCACGAATGTACACGTGCCTCAGTACAGCTGGAAAGGGATAAAAGTGTTACACTGACCCTTTATCAATATTTAAATGTTTTCCATATTATGAATCATGTGAATCATTAATTTCGCGAACACCAGGCGTCATCACGGAATTTTAGGGATCAATCATATAATTTACAACACAGTTTGAATTTACGGCCAATGAGTGAGTGAGTGTGGTTTTACGCCGCTTTTAGCAATATTCCAGCAAAATCATGGCGGGGGACACCAGAAATGGGCCTCACACATTGTACCCATGTCGGGAATCGAACCCGGGTCTTCGGCGTGACGAGCGAAGGCTTTAACCACCAGGCTACCCGACCGCCCTTTACGGCCAATGGAATCTGTTGCGGCAGATAATTGAAGTTGATTTTTTTCTGGCTTTGATGTTACATATTTAATTTGTTAGATGAGGTATCATCATAAAAAACGAATCCATCTAACCCTCTTACATATTTATTTCAATATTGTACGAGAACTCAACTCTCTTGGAGTCCGTGTGTTAACTTCAGAAAACTGTTGTTGAAAATTGCCCCCCTTGGAATAGCGCATATGGGAACTTATAGAAACGTTGAAATTCGAATTTAAAATTAAATCACTTCGTTTATCCGAATTCAGTGTGTACCTGTTATTCCTTCCACCTGTTTCCATGCTCCTAATATGACCCCCGTCAGGAACTTCCTGTCCTGTGTCAGCACGACGCCTTGTAACGTGATGGTGAAGTGTAGCCTCATTTCGACCAGGTCGGCCGACTGGGCAGAAACCAGTTGATAGCGCTCACCGCTCATCTTGGTCACTTGAATGTAGTTCTGCAGCACTGTGACGTCTAACTCCTTGTACTGGGTTCCGTCTACAAGCTGGTGGTTCTCGGTCATGAAGTACAGCAACATGTCAGCGAAACGGCTGCAAAAATGAACAGAAGGCTGACTGAGTAAATGGGTCCCATCACGAAGATTGACAAATAGAATGGGCTTCACGCGCACGTGGATCTATGTAGGGAATCGAACCCGGGTTTGGGTTTGATGAGCATCGCTGTAACTACTGGTTTAAACACCCACTCGACCAGCATCCTGGTCCCACATCCTCATCATCACTCCCGAACAGAACATTACAAAAAAAAACAAGTCTATTATAATTATACTTTCAGAAATGTATCCTAAGTATATGTGTTATTATTATATCTTTATCACGCTGTTATCCTTCGAAATCGAGGTAGATAAACATTACTAGTATACAATTCATATACAATAAAAATTGTATCTGATTTAATATGTGATTTTAAACGCTTCATTCTTTCTACACAAGTGTCAAAATGCTCTAAGAAAGATATTGTTTACTAATATGACAATAACGGTTTTGTCGCAACATATCCATGCTGAAAAGATCTTACCCATCTGCGCCAATGTATTGCTTCACCGTTATGTAGCGGACCTTGAAGTTTCTGATATCCCAGTCTGAATCACAAAACATAAACAATGTGGTTTCCGATATTTATATTTCCCCCACATCTGGTCGGGATAAGGCTTGTACAAAACGGGCAATGGGCACGTAACGACACGTCCACATAGGAATTCCGTGTACAATATATTAGGTTACTCGTATTCTTGGGTGCAAAAATAGCCGACTGATATGAAGTTTGGATTGTTGATCTTGCTGTCAATTACTCGCATCCCTGACTGCCGTAGTATAGCTAGAATATTGATGACGACAGGCTGACAATTCATTCGTTTACTCACTCACTCACTCACTCACTCACTCACTCAGACATTCAGGCATTCATTCATTCAAGAGATAAATACTATTTTATTATACTTACTATGACCATCACGTTCAGAGTGAGTGTGTGACTATGGTTTAACGCCGCTTTTAGCAATATTCCACAATATCACGACAGGGAACACCAGAAATGAGCTTCACACATTGTACCAATGTGGGGAACCAAACCCGGGTCTTCGGCGTGACCAGCGAACGCTTTCGAACGTTTTCCGAAATTGGGATTGATACCAAAAAAAAGAAACTTATCCATAAAGATATTTGCGCCGTGAATAGTCCAGGAGTGGCCCTCAAATCCGATTTAAACCCATTTTTTAATTGCAGCAAACATTTATTTGAAACAAGATTCTGTTCATACAGGTTAATTTTGTATTGCGTTTACATCAATGGCTCAGTTGCCTCTTCTACCTGCACAACGTATCATTTTCCCTGAGTATTCAAGGATAATGTACAATGTTTGAAGGGTTATTGTGTACAGAGAACTTAAAACAAAGAGATGACATCGGGATATTATTAGGTTTATGTCAATATGCTGTGTTCAAAAACTAGTTTTTGGCTTGATAAAGCCTGCAACGTTTTTTATTGTGATTTTGTGGGCGGGATTTTACTTAGCTTTTAGCATAATAATTTCTTTTCGGCGGACCCAAAGCACACATTGCATATGCAGCTCTGTTGGGAATCGAAGCCGGGCATTCGTCATGAGTAGCGAACGTCTAACCCACTTTACCCGCTACAGCCACAACGTTTTTTGAATAAATGGTGTATTTCTTTGACAATGTTTTACTGCTCCTTGGGCAAACAGGGTGATCAACATATACACTTACGTAGACAATACACTGTATTCACATGCGCTTGTTATGACTTAGTTTTAACTACAAATGAAAGTCCGATGAACGTTAAATCTCCTTATCATTTAACACATATAAATGCATACACTCAGATATACCGCGAGGTCGTCACCGAATGATCAGAATCTACCCCAATGGGGGGGGGGGGGGGGTTATACATTTTCCTTCTTTCGGTACCAAATTCTTTTGCGGAACACATATGTTCTTTGTTAGTTCAACATTTTACAAATTGTGACGGAATGTTATATATTTACTTTAACAATACCTCCCTATTATACAAGTGTTTGAAACGGATACAAATGTGGAATGCAATGAAAGGCTCGAATGTTTAATGTCTACTTCTCCTGTGACAGTCAGGAGGATTACGTCAAAATAAGTAAATAAGGCATCTCCTAACTGTATCATAAATCAAACATTTGATATGATTTTTGTGTGCACGGCTGTAGTTTCAAACGCCATGTACACATGAATAACTCACACAATGTCTGGCAGGATCTGTAATTGTGTGCGTGGGTGGGCCTTTTCACCCTGCCGCTATTGGGCAACGTTTTGTTTGTTAGTTGTGTGACGCTACACTCAGCAATATTCCAGATATATGACGGCGGTCTGTAAATAATCCAGTCTGGACCAGACAACCCAGTGATTTACATCATGAGCATCGATCCGCGCAATTGGGATACGATGACATGCATCAACCAAGTCAGCGAGCCTGACCACCCGATCCCGTTAGTCGCCTCTTACGACTAGAATAGTCGCTTCTCACGGCAAGCGTGGGTTGTTGAAGACCTATTTTATCCCGGATATTCTCAGTCTGTTGGGTAACGTAGCTGCTTTAGTCAATGTTAATAGAGTAGAGGTGGTGAAATGGGGTTTAACGTTGCGTCCAAGATTATTGCACTTATATAGCGACGTGCATGTACGTGTGTGTGTTTGTGTAGCTGCTTGTACTAGTCCGGACTGATGCCGATTTATGGTGCTGGCTAACTGAGATACCATGCCGCAGTTTAACATGAATACCCCACTCAGACACAGTATACTGACTCCGAGCCGACCAGTCCTTGTTTTAGCCCCTTAATGCCGAGCGCCAGACAGGGTAACAACAAGTACCATCTTTTAACGTCTTTGAGTATGACGCGGCCGGGGATCGAGCCCCGGACCTTCCGCTCTCCGGGCGGACGCTCTACCACCAGACCACGGAGGCGGTCTGATAGAGTAGAGCTGCCTTGTACTTTAGATTAAGCAATAAAACACCAGGTGTTGAGGCAGCATCTTGATTTAACATCAATGGATCTTAATGAGGACTATAAAGGTAGTCGTTGATGGTTAATCGACACAGAGATAATATTACGTGAATAAGATTTAAGGAGTTAGACATGTTTCTACGGGAATTTACGTTGTTTTTCACCATGAGGCCAAAGGGAGCATGAACACTCAACTCCTGTAACATCTCGTTTTGTCCGCTATTGAACCACGTACCGAACTATTCAGTACGTGTTCAACGGTTTTCTCGGGACGTCTTATCAAACATATGACGTCTTTGAATTCGTACAGTCCGACCTGCAGACGTTTACAGACGCTGCCAAATCAGAAAGCTCGATTTCATGTCGAGTAATGACAATGATAGTTGAATTGGACAGCCTTATTACTAGATACGTAAACTGCCGGGCAAAAAACACTATCCAACCATGTGTGATGGTGGCTTAAAATGGATCAAACAAGAAATTGTTAATCGTTTTGGACCTTAAGTTTGTAGTGTTTCTGCAACTGTTTTCAGCCCAGTAACGTTTTAATAGTTGGGGTCAAATCTAATTTTCAAATGTATATTTTCTTTTGCCCAGCACTGTACTAATTGTCTCCACACCTTGTGTAATGAGTTCCGCTTTCCAGGCGTTCTCCAGCCCCTCCACCAGTTTGTCGATGTCATGAGTGGTGTCGATCTTGTCAAGGACGTACAGGCCAAGGTGGAAGGAGTAGCGGAATAAATCCACTTCATGATAGAGTCTGAAGACTTCTCCACGTGTGTTGTTGACGTTCAGATTCACGTCGAATCTTGATGTGTTAGGGGGCGACTGCAGCACTGAATATACTGTGGAGTTCTCAGATGTTACTTTGTAGATCACCTTTGTGATGAAATCTCTGGAATGATCAGAAAACGACCACCATTTATTCACACATATGTTTTATATTTTACAGCTGATCGAAAATCAGACTGCTTTTTTAAAACTATGTAATTTGTGACATTGATTTTGGGTTACATGTATATAAAAAATATAACCCAGGTAATGTGATGTATATTACATCATAGAAATGTTACCATACTCGTTTTAATTAGGTAAAAGAACTAGTATATGTCTCACCCATTAGGTTCAATGTACCGCTCACACCTCAGCAGGATAATGTTCACATTTGTAATAAGCATGTCTGTTTCTGAAAAAGAAAACATCAATGATAAACTCACTGAATATAACGTTTAAGTAGCTTTGGTCTCTTTAGAATGAAAACAACCGGATCAGATGGTAACAGCCTCCCTCTGCTTACCGAAATATTGGGCTATGGTAATCATGCAATCATCTTATGTAGTTGTGCATTCGATGACGATTCTCCAGATGGAGTGGGGGTAGCCCGTCACCCTGAAGGCCCAGATTTGATATACCACGGGGGTAAAATGCTTGACGCCCAATTCAGGGGTCCCTCACTGTTTTTCATTTGTTTGTTTGTTTGGTTGGTTGGTTGTTGTTCAACGTCCTTCTCAGCAGTATTACAGCTATATGACGGCGCTCTGTCAATAATTGAATCTAGACCAGACAATCCAGTAATTGAGTGAGTGAGTTCAAGTTTAACGTCGCATCGGCATTATTTCAGCCATATAGCGACCATATTGCTATATGACATCGGTCTGTAAATAATCGGTACTGAACCAGACATTCCAGTGATTGAGCATTGAACTACGCAATAGGGATACGATGACACGCATCAACCACGTCAGCGAGCCTGACCAGCCGATAGTCGCCTGAAGGCCAATTCTAACCCAGATCTTCACGGGTTCCCCGATGGAATATTGCTGGTATAATGCTAAAAGAACCCTCAAACCCTACTGCCTTACTCAAACTCAGATGACACCCACCGTTCCATGTCAGATGAATCCTATCCCTAATGATGCTCTGGTCCATGCTGGTTACCTCTCCTATGATGTTGATACTGAAGGTGAGGCGGTAGCGGACAATACTGCGGCCCTCTTGGTGCTGATACAGCTCATAGCGGCCGAGTGTTACAAGCGAGGTTACGTTTGGCTGTGTCACTTCGGCCGGGTGTATCATGGTGTCATTGGCGTACAGGAAGTAGTAGATTCTCGTTATCTCTTCCCTGAAAGGTGCACACAGTTGAGTGAGCTGTATGTGTCAAATGTATGATGATATAACACTATGCAGCGTTTTTATGTTTACTTGGAGGAAAATATACAAAATATTTTGAAATCACACTTCGTTCCTTATTAAATTAATGCCAAAGTTAATATAACCACGCACATAAAACATTGTTATGGAAGTGATGACACAAGGTACGAGCCAGGTGCATCCTTCATATGTTACGGTTCGTTTCCTTGTTACATTTTACCTATCACATTACTTTCTATTGGGGGCCGTGGGTAACCAAGTGCTTAAATCGTCACGGCGAAAGCCCGGGTTCTAGCCCCCACATGAGTACAATGTGTGAAACCCATTTCTGGTGTCCCCCACCGTAATATAACTGCACTATTGTTAAAATCTCACTCACTCACTCACTCACTCCATGGTAATGGAGTGGGATCATTGTAGTGCAAAGTAAATACTCTTACCCATTGGCTCCGATGTATTCCTCTACGGCTGATGTTGTTATATTGAAGGTTTCTGTACCTGTAGGAATGATTGGCAATGTTTTACAAATCGTAAATTCTTTTATCAACACACGTTTGCTAATTTGGTCATGCTGCTAAGTATGCTGCGCAAACAATTGAACAATTGTTTCAAACAATAACATAATAGAATATTGTCAAAACAGTTTAACAATACAATAAACACTGACATTAGTAAAAAAGAATTACATTTTAACTCAGTCACTTCTCAGTGAGCATCACTAACATTACGTGAAATAACTAAAACTAATTTACTTCAGTCTGTACCTTTTGAGCATACATGTATATTACCCATTTAAGATATTTGTATAAACATATTCTTTGTTGATGTACTGTTGCGCGGGTTTACTGTATTGTTAAAGTGTTTTGAAATATATAATAGAAATATTTATCCAGATAGAATAATCAGGAGTGGTTATGATATCAGTACTAGGATCTATTTCTATCCATTTATTTTGGCACTCTAATTGACTGTTTGAATCGCTGATGGTGACTGGTAACGTACAATGATGCCTCAACCAGCAGCAGAATCCACGTATCGAAGATCACCGTTATACTACATGTTTATACGACGATGAAACCCAACATACCCATTGTCATATTCCATATGTCGTAAATATCCTGGTTTATCTCCAGATACTGGTCGACCAATGGGGGCCGCCCGCTGATGTAGAGGGAGAAGCTGTATTCCAGGTACAGGATGGTCACGCCGGTATACAGCTCCGTGTGGTAGCGTCCGTGCAGGGCCTTGGTAAGGTGAGCTTTGGTTGGTGTGACCAGACGGCTGACGTCGACTTCAGTAACATTGATGCTCACAGTGTAGGAGATCTCCACAACTAAAACCCTGCAATTGATGATATTTGTTTCATATTCCTTACGTCGAAATTATTGTGTAGATCCTCTCCGAGGCATCAGATATCAATGACCACATGTATGCACACGTTGATGTTTAATAATTCAATTTTTAAAGGACATCTATAATTTTAAGCAGGCGAATTACCTATTTAAGCAGACGTATATTTAAGATATAAAGATGTAAGATTCTCAAAGACACACTTATTTACAGAAAGTGAGTGTTGAGGAAATATTTTAGAAATACTTTTTTTTCTTTTTTTTTAAAAATATTTTTATTTCAATTCAGTAGACATAAATGTAACACTGGTACATGAGATATATAAGTATAGCAATTCATTGAATCTTAAAACATGATCAGATATGGGTATTTACATAAAAAAAATATTATATTGATTGACTGATCGCATGAGAAATTATAATAAGTAGGCTGATAATTCCTTCCATTTTCTGTCGAATCTATTAATACTACTATTTTTCATTGCGATAATTGTTTCTATTTTACATATATTTTTAGGAAAAAAGAAAAGCATAATGGAGTTTTCTTAATGTTTGACTGGTGAATGTATGTGTTTACAAGAAGAATTATATATATGGTTGAAAAGGTAGTTGTTTTTGTTGTAGCATAATAACTTATCCAGAATGGTAATATGAATATCATATGCAAATTTCGTGTTAAGGTACATTTCAATTTCTAACCAAAATTCCTTCACAATAATGCATTTTCAATCATTCCTTTTTGGTATATAGAGCTCTATTTATGAATCTGTACTGGAAATCTATTAGTTAACATCATTGGTACACATTCTACAATTAGAGAGAACATTATTCCATAAAATGCTTTGATTAAGTTAATTTTCCCATTTATCACACATCAGAGGAAAGTTAGTTGTGCTATGAGTTTATCATAAAATATTCTGGAGCCCTTTTTTCTTGTCAACAAGTCTCTCAAAATATTATTTATGTATAAAGAGATTTTAGAAATACTTACCCTTTCTCTCCTATGGCACCTTTCATATCCAAAATGCTGATGTTGTAGCCATGTTGATCTGGAACTGTGAAAAGAATTCATTTAACATGTTGTAACATTGTCATATCACCACGGTTTGGTGGTATACTCGATACCTAATATGAAAGTGAAAGTATCTAGTCAAACGACGCCTCTCGTACACATGTATGACTTAACACGTGTAATGTTTGATCCATTATTGTACGAGACTTTTCGTCCACTTGATCTTAAATTTAGATCCACATGCAAATGCAATATGTAAGAAGTGATTTCATAACGATTTTGTATATAAAATGTAAAGATCGAAATATTTTCAGTCGAATTAAAATAGTGCATATTGATATTTTCCTTTGCTGAGATGCATCATATTAATTTTAAGAAGACCTCAAACATGAACTTGATTTTCAAATTAATACCCTTAGTATGATTTTGCACAATCATCAAAATCTCTCCCCAGTGTCATTTGGTATCTTGTACTCGTATATTAAAATTCGTCAAAGAATAGAAAACTATATGACACTATAAATAAAGACACTATATTCTTATATTTAACAAATGTTATATTTTGGATAACACTTTCTTAGTAAAGTACAGATTCTAGTTACATTTGACCGCTTTCTAAATGGCATTGTGTGTTCATATTCCTATATAAGTACCTAACAGGATTTCCTAGACTTGCACATCTATATTCAAAAACATACTGTAACCCCATACAGGCCTGTGTTTAACATGTACACTGTCTTACAGATAAGAGCATTAGCTTCTTCCCAGGCCAGATTCAGGATCTGCACCAGATTCTCCTCCTCGCCCTCCATCTCCTCCTCCACAGCTTCAAACATCAGTCTGTAAACTTCGGTAGGCTCGAACACGGTCGGCTTCTCAGTTGTCGTTGGAGCTGTAGAGACAGTCGTAGTTGGTGTTGTTGTTGTTGTTTGCACTGTCGTTTCAGTAGTAGTTGGTGATGTTTGTACTGTCGTCTCTGAGGTAGTTGGTGATGTTGTTTGTACTGTCGTCTCAGTAGTAGTTGATGATGTTGTTTGTACTGTCGTTTCAGTAGAAGTTGTTGACAGAGTTGTAGTAGAATCTGACAAAGATACTTCTTCAACAGTGGACTGAGATGCTGACGTTTGTGGGGTTGTGGAGATGACTGCTGGTCCTTGAGAAGAGTAACCCGTGGTGTTGAAAGTAGTTGCTGCAGTAGCATTCTCTGTTGGTATTGTTTGTGTGATTGTCACCTTGGTCGAGGATCGGGATGTTGTCTCCCTGCTTGATGAATTGTCCGTAGCACCTTCGGTTGTAATGTCTGTTGAGGACATCATTTCAGAACTTCCCGTTGTTGGTGCTGTCGATGTTTTTACAGATGTTGTTCTTGATGTAGTAGTTGTAAAGCAAGAATTGGTCCCTGCAATAAGCCAACCAACAAGTGGTAACTATACACATATACAAGTATTCACCACAGGCAAATCCATGTGATCATCAGAATTAAAGGGGGACACAATCGGGTTCTCAATTCAGGACTATGTCACGATATTGTAGCTGACTAATGTAAAACTGAGTCATTCTCTGTGTGTAACAAGAGTAACTACCAACTGCCAGACATCACACAAAGGGCGATTTTGGGGAATGAATCAACCTCAAGCTCGGTAGGACTGCTAATCGTCCCCATTTAACATTTTAAACGTCACACGATATATAATGTTAATCAAGACTATCTCGGCTCCCAAAGGAATACATGTAATTGTCTTTTTTACTATGAAGGTAACTTTGGTTGCTCAGTGGTCAGACATATGAAATAGGTTTTGTTTACAAATACAAGGGCATTATGAGTTCTACTAGGGCAACGTTTAGTAATTGTGTTACTATGGTGTGATATTATCTTGGTTCAAATGTCTTTTTTGCGATAATGAGTCAACATTCTGTTATCGTTTATCAGTGATGATGCTTTAGGTAAACATATGGGCCACTTCAATTAAGAATATTTTATTTCGCTCAGGATTTCGTATATTAAGATGCAACACAATATAGGAGATAATGACATTTGTTTAAGTGAATTTCAACAAAAGCTTTATTATTATTTATATGGAGACTGGCATTCATCCTTGGAAAATTCAAAGTGCAACAACTATGGATAATATTTATCATTGCTCAGTGTTAAATCACATCTACAAACAAACACATCTCACTAATATTAAATTGAGTTAATGAATAAAAATAGGTATAATAACTTTAGATGATGTGTTGAGATTGGAAGAAACAATAATATTCCACAGCAAATTAGACATTTATGTGAACACACTTATCAATAAAAGCAAAAAAGACATCCAAAATAATTGCAATGCTAACCAACAACTGAAAAAAAGTATCCATCTCATGAATGAATGAATGAATGAATGAATGAATTTCCCCCAAGAAAATCTGAAGAGTCTGAAAGGATCAAAATTATTGGGAATAGTATTCCGCACATGTTCTTCATATATCCAGCATAGCACTGGACTATATTTAGCATAGATTTTTGAAATGAGGAAACACTAATTTCATAAAAAAATACCCTTTTATGCAGGAATTTACCTTTTAAATAATATTGTATTGTGGGTCGATGGCCTTTATTAGTGAATAAATGTATTCGTCTATCTATCTGTTATCCTTTCCATCAAAAATATTCCTGTATTACATACACCAGCAGACCAACATTATCGTTATATATTTACCATCGAAACAGCAGCAGTAGTAATCGCCTTTCCCCTGACCATATCGGATGCACGTTCCTCGTCCATCACAAGCATCGAAATATCCTGTTAACATGTATTCATAATCACCATGTGAACAATTAGACATATATATTTATTATCATGGCTTTCAATATCTAAAAACAAAAACAACAACATAAACAATAATCATTGAGTAGGATCTGAAACCAGTTTTGTTTTAAATGAAACTTTAATAATGTTTGATGGCAATGGGATATGGACATATACCAACCTTCTATCCTCAACAAGTCAATGGGGCATTCGGTGCTTCCTTGTGTTACCACTCCGGTGATGCCAGTGTTATTGTTCATTGTAGAATCAATCAACAAATTGTCCGTCACATCGTGGAGACGAAGACTGTTTCTATCACTGTAGAATACTCCAGTTACGGTGGTAGTGATCTGATCAATTGTTACATAGCCACTGACTTTGGGTATTTTACCCTCAGTTGTTTTTGTGATGTTCATGCTGAATTTTTTTGTGTCACCTGAACAATTCATCAAACCAGACCAGCTACTTGATACAAATCCTGAACCTGAAACAGCAAAGTATGAGTACTTCCTAGTAGTGTCCTATCTGAATACAGATCTGGCTTTGTCAGAAATGTGATGGTCTCGATCATTTACCTGAAGTTTATCGATGAGCCCACATGGGTCTCCCTTTCCAATCACGATGTGATTAGTTCAGTGTGTGAGACCTACAGACATCGTTTCTATGTAAGTTTGGTAATGATTTGCTAGATTTATAAGAATGATATAGCATGAGATAGAAAGCAAACTATCCAAGGTAGTGAGCAACAACTGGTTAGGGCTAACAACTCCTGCACATACACAGATGTTCGTGACTCAACAAATTCAGAGATGACAAAGAAACTTTTATTTCTTGAAAGGAAAAAAAACTTTATTTGGAATATAACATAAAGTCTTCAAATGAATTTTGGACAACTCTTGGTACGTTAAATCCACAAAATAAGTATAAAATGATACTGAAATTGATAATGGTATGATTATTACAACTGTTATTATAACTGTTACAATTCTTGATTCGCCTGTTACAAGAGAGAAAATTCAAAATATTATCCCACGATATGCCAAGGACAGGCACGGGCATCAACGGCTCGGTGGTATAATAAAAACACAAGATGAGAATAGGTTTAATGGCCGAGGGTGTGCAGGTACTAGTGGGCTACTAGGCTGCTTGTTGGGTATACCGAAAATGCTACCGTTTCGCAGCTAGCGCTGCTGGCCTGAGACTGCTATCACTGTCCAGCCCCCACGGTAGCATATTTAAACGCTACCATTGCTTGGCAACTACCACGCTGCCAAAAGCAACTACCGCTGCTGGCCTAAGTCAAACTACCGCTGCCCAGCCCCAAAACAGGTCCCACTGCCTGGCCACATTAGCAAAACCATTGTGTGACTACCGCTGTGGACCCAACTGTCAGCTACCGCTTGACAAGACGACTTCCGCCGCCAAGCCAATATACATGGCAATTGTTTGTCCCAATGTATGTTATTTTACGATTCCCCGTCGGGAAAGACAAGGTTCCAACTGAGAAGCAGGTAACCCCGGAAAGGTTCCCGCTGAAAAGCAGGTAGCCTTAAGCACGAGTATTAATTTGGTAGCAAGTTAATTTGTTACTAGCAGTGTAGCCCACAAGAACCCCGCACACCTTGACATAGTTTATTTTTGAGACAGGTATTCGCATATATACATATATACAGCTATTTAGAATTCATGTTTATTTACATATATCAGAATTGTTTAGAGGTATGTACATATATCGAGGCGCCCTGAAAACCTATTTCACATATGTACAGGTTTATTTACATATATACAATTTGCTCTGCTGGTACCTGTAATAGAAAAACGCTGAAGAAAAAAAGTGATTAGCATTCCAGGTTAAGAGGACATAACCGGCTGAAAAGGAAAGAAAAGGAGTGGCAAGCTGGATGGGTGGGTGGGAAAACGATTATATACAGCAAAACACGTGTGTAGTTGAAGAGAGACGGTGCGCCAATGATGGACTATAACTAAGGCAGGATGATGCTTGCGCAGGATTATTGCCCGGGCACGGTGCAGGGTGATGACCCGGGGGTGATTCAGTTACAAGGGGTGATTGGGTTACGGGCGTAATTAGCCAATGGTTGGATACGCGTGATAAAGTCATTTAGTAGTTAGTACTAAATGTAATTATCTGGCGATATGCCAAGGAGAGGCACGGTCGACCGAGCCGTGGATGCCCGTGCCTATAATAAAAACACAAGATGAGATTGGGTTAAATGGCCGAGGGTGTGCAGGTACTAGTGGGCTACTGTTGCCATGGCCACTAGCGTGGCGATTCGCAGCTAGCGCTGCTGGCCTGAGACTGCTACCACTGTCCGGCCCCCATGGTTGTATATTTTAAACGCTACCATTGCTTGGCAACTACCACGCTGCCAAAAGCAACTACCGCTGCTGGCCTAAGTCAAACTACCGCTGCCCAGCCCCAAAGCAGGTCCCACTGCCTGGCCACATTAGCAAAACCATTGTGTGACTACCTCCGCGGACCCAACTGTCAGCTACCCCTTGACAAGACGACTTCTGCCGCCAAGCCCATATACATGGCAATTGTTTGTCCCAATGTATGTTATTTTATGATTCCCTGGCTGAAAAGACGGGAAAGACAAGGTTCCCACTGAGAAGCAGGTAACCCCGGAAAGGTTCACGCTGAAACGCAGGTAGCCCTAAGCACGAGTATTAATTTGGAAGCAAGTTTATTTGTTACTAGCAGTGTAGCCCACAAGAACCCCGCCACAAAGCTCTAGAGTGCTACCCCACACCCACGGCCACGCGATACGCGGAGATAGCATTGTTGCCCAGCTTGCCTATGTACTGAAAAGAAACACTAACCTGTGGAGATAACATCCTTACTGGCGCAAAACAAGTGCCAGGGCATGCAATAAATTGTCCGTAAACACACACAGTCCTTTGTCACTTAGGTGGACCCCCTCCCAGGCGTACCATGTCTTGTCTGATGCCAGGATCTGGGGATGTGGCACTATTGTACCCCCGAGCTCTTTGACTCTGTTGGGCAGTCGGCGGTTGATATTCTTCCGCACACCCTCGATCTTTATTGGATCCCTAACATCGTGCCAGTAGCTCTTTGGCAGCATTAAGGATACGATGATCTTGGTGTCAGGAAGCTGGAGTTGTATCCAAAGGATTGATACCACCATGTCAAGGTAGAGTTGGCTGCCCTTGACCGAGCACAGATCCTTGGAGCCCAGGTGAATGATGAGGGCTCTGGGGCTGCGCCGTGTCGCCTTGACCTGTGCAGTCTGGCTTCATATGCTGATGAGCATATGTGTGGCAGATTGTTGGTTACTACCTGCAGCAGATCTGCAGTGATCGGTTTTCTGATGTCTGGTCGGCCCACTGATTTGTGTAAGCGTGTTTAAATCTTGCCCACTAGGATATGGTTTGTACAGTCGGTGAGCCCGCGGAATTTGTGCTGTGAAGACAGCACAACAATGTAAGTCTTGACTGTGTTAGGGGAGTGGTGAGTGACTGACAGATAAGCAATAAAGTTTACAACCTGATCCAGCGGGACTGGCCACGCCTCCCGGAACTGGTGTAAGGCATTGATGCCTGTTTGGTAAGTGGACCATGTGTTTGTAGACAGAGATTGTTGTATGAGTCTGCCGGCTTCCTGCCTCAGATCAGCCATATGTTGCACGGGATAGGTGTGGGGTTCTGGTCCGCGGCTGGTGCTGCCTCTCGGAAGCGTTTGAGCTGAAACCTCGAGAGAGCATTGGCAATAGTGTTAGCAGTGGAACATACATACTTTGCCTTAAACAGAATATTATATCGGAGGCACTGCAGGATTAGGCGGCGGAGCAGGCTCATCGCTCTGGGGGCCTTGATAGACTGTTTGTTGATTATTGCTACACCGGCTTGGTTGTCTCAGTAGAAGAGGACCTTTTTGTTTGCAAGTTGCTTACCCCAGAGTTGGATGGCCAGTGTGATGGGGAACTGCTCCAGGAGCGTTAAGTCCCGTGTAGTTCCATCCGTCACCCACTTGGTTGGCCATGCGCCAAATGGTAAGCATTTATCAAAATAGAACTCACCTTCGAATCTGATGCCTAGCAGCTCGAAATCGGATGGATGGGCTGGTATAATTGTAAAGGCCGACTGAATGTCGACTTTTGCTAGTAGTGCTCCCTTTCCCAGTTGTTGAACCATATGAGTAGCTTCATCAAATCTGGCATACACAGCGGAGCAGGCCTCTGTGTCTATGAAGTCGTTTATAGATTTACCCCTGGGATAGGATAGATGGTGAATTAGACGGAATTCCTCCGCATGCTTACCCAGATGCTGACCATAGCCTGGCTGCTTCTTGGGCACCATGCCTACTAGGGATACTTTGAGGTTGTCCAGTGGGGTGTCCTTGAAGGGGCCCGCCATCCTGCCAAGGTCGACTTCCTTTTGTAGTTTTTGTAAAACCAAAGCTAAAACCTACCCCTAAATAATTTGCATCTCTGTAATTGACCTTAGCATATCGGTGTAACCAGGGTACCATTTCATTGAGATCCACGGGGGAAGGGGCCTTGGCAGCTGGTTTCCTGTTAGAGAAAGGCTGATTGGGCTTGTGTGGGGTCGGTTGGACCCCATTCCCTCGAAAGCAGGTCCTAGAGCTGTGGGAATTTTTGCCACACTTATCGCATTTGTGAGTGTACTTACAGTTGACCCTGCTCCAACCAAATTTATTGAAATCCCAGCATACCTGACTGGCGATGTCCCCCTGTACGCGTGTCATTGCGCCCCGTCCGCCTGACTCTGGTTGTCGTACCGGCTGTGTGACCATGTACTTCAGCCACAACTCCCGTCAATGTTGTCCCAGCGTCGTTAGGGGTCCCTTGACATTCTGTGTCAGAATTGTTGGTCGTAGGTTGACCAGGCATCCCCCCCGAATCGAAGTGCCGCCGTTCTTATTGTTTCCATGTAGGACAGCAACCCCTGGGTTGTGCGAACCTCGGAGTGCCTACTAACATAGATATATATTATTATTTTTTATAATGTGGAAAGCTGAAGTCCAGCTTGCCAGGGACAGACGCTTTGGTTGCTGCTTTATTGGTTTAAAAAATACCTTCCATGAGGAATCGTACGCCATGTCAATCGTACCATCCTCGTGGCTTTCCTCGGTGATTGGTAGGATTGTGCCGAGGTCGACAAACTCGCCACGCCAGATTTTTTTCCCGCACCTTCGATATTTCCGTAATTGGAAGACTCACCATCAGCTGTTGCCTCCTATATAATGTGTACTCCCGGGGTTTGTCTCCTGGTTGTCCTGGCCAGCTTGGCTCCCCTCACAAGCTTGTGGTTGACGGCATCACGGAAGATCGAGGTGGTGAGTTGGTATTCCACAAGAGTAAAATGTCCCGACGATGAAGTTCGGGAGTAGAACGAAATAAATGCGATACGGCGAGTGCTGAAATAGGTGGTATTCGAAGCGTAATCGACGAAACGGTCGCGATTGAGTAAATGCGATAAGGCCAGTGTTGAAATAGATGTTATTCGAAGCTTAATCGGCGAAACGGTCGCGATTGCGTACAAAGGAAACGTTCAAAGCGAAAGCGATTAGATACAGCGAAACACGCGTGTACTTGAAGAGAGACGGTGCGCGAATGATGGACTATAACAAAGGCGGGATGATGCTTGAGCGGGATTATTGTCCCGGCGCGGTGCAGGATGCTGACCCGGGGGTGATTCAGTTACAAGGGGTGATTGGGTTACGGGCGCAATTAGCCAATGGTTTGGATACGCGCGATAAAGTCATTTAGTAGTTAGTACTAAATGTAAATTTTTGGAAAGAATGCATAAAAGAGTGGACTATTAGTGTGGGTATTCCACTGTACGCATGTTTAAAGATTTCGAATAGCCTCAGCATTATTTGGATGCAGCTCTTATAGACTAATGATTGAAGTAGGCATTTGTAAGCAATGTGATTTAATTGTAATTGAAGATGACTGACATTTTCTGTTAGTCTATCCAAAAAACAACTATCTAAGAAGTAAATATGTGGAACTGCTCTTTTATGTACATCCCACTCACCCCAAAAATATATCTATCATGTCAACAACAGTTAATTGTACTCTTAAAGAAACAATCATTCATTATTTATGCTATGTTAATTAGAATATAAACTGTAAAAACAATTGCAACCACTCCCGAAAATAGAATTCTACTTTGGGTCTGTGACCTTTCAGTGTGGAATAAAAGGTATCCTTATCCTACCCCTATGGTTATCCTAACAACGCATCAATTTAACATTATCCTAATGTAGACGATATAGCCTTACTTTGGTAGATAGAACAGTCTGGGTAAGATCCTGATATGAGTTCCGTGCAGTTGGGCCCCCTCCATCCATTACGACAGACAATGTCGCCGGTGTCCTTGTTGCATGTGTAGTGGCCGTTACAGTTGTCTGCCGGTACACAGTGCTTCGTACAGTTGGCCAGGTAGTAGTACTGGTCACACGACGTCTCCGTGGACAGTGTAATTCTACATAACATTGTTTGTGGAACACATATAACTCAATGAGACGACATTAGTCCAATGGTATTGTGTTCAGAAAGGAGAAAATAGTTATATTAGAAGATTTAACCTACATTCAACATTCGAATGTAATAGAAAATCGAATAAATTTAAAGATTATGTTCAAGAACAAATCATTTCTGGAATATCTAATAAGAGAAGAGACATATTTACGTGGTTGGATTCTTCTGTCTATTGCCCAGTGTTGTAAAGTTCACTCTGTTGTCGTCTCTCTTTATGTCGACGTTGATGAAGTCTACAGGAACCTTGCCGTTGGTGATGATATTAGTCACGTTTACTGTTAACTTGTATTCTTCCTGAAATGAAGAGATAGGAGTTAAATAGTTAAAAACTCTTTCTTATTAGTTCATTACATAAGTCAACACTGTGACACATACATCTCGGATATACAATGTAGTCATTAAATATTTGCATAAATTCTTACCTCAAGGACATCAAGAGAAAAAGTTTGAATTGTTTCTGTTTTCGCATCTGTAGGTGCACCATGTGTTGAGCAGCTGATCTGTGTTCTGTAAATAAACAGTTCAATGACAAGCCATAAACTTTTGCGGTAGGTGTAAAATGGCTACATTCATCATTCGTATAATCATGCCTTAATAATTTGTTTGTATTATGCTTAAACATAATCAGACAAGATGCAATTGTTTTGCACATCAGTTTTTACCAAAATGTTTCACTTGATGGTTATTTTCATTGTTAAACTTTTTTTCTTTTTTTTTAAACTAAAAAGTATCCAAAGCAAATGTTATCTGGTGTTTACTGAGAAAAGAATATGTGAAATGCAGGACATCCTAGTAGATAATATCAATGTCGAATTTGGGGATAGGACATTTAGGCAGCCCCATGGGCACCAATTCTGACAACTCCTTGCTGACTTGTTTCTTTTTTATATGAGACAGATTGTTCAGATTGGCAAAAACTAAAACAAGGGAATTTGGCCAAGATGTTTATCTTAAGCTTCGGCTATATCGAGTATCTGAAATCGTTTTTAAAAGGTCAAAAATTATTTTCCCATCACTTATTTATCCACCTGAGCAAGAAATAAAAGGGACCAGTGAAACCGCTTGACCTGCTTCATATTTTGACCTTAAAACATCCACAAGACTGTATGACAAGAGGGGTGACTTCAACTTGCCAATACTAAACTTTTCCTTTTCATCCAGCAATATTCCAACTACTCCAGTCCTTGGCGTCATACGACTCTTGCTCAAAGGTTGTTTTAATAGGGTTACACCATTCCAAACCTCAGTAAAGCTTTCCAAATAATTATGGTAGACGCGTGGAGTGTATTTCTAAATTTGATGCATCGGTGACAAAAATTATGTCTGTTGTAATTCAATATAGTACCATAATATGTTCCCGTGGTTTTATTCAGGTGAACGATAGACATGCGTTTGGATGTGTATGTGTTAGTGCTACCGATGGGGAGGGCGAGATACGCACATCTGATATCATCACTATTTGATAGTGATTCATAAACACATGCTCATGATATAGTCGGAATCGTACAATGGACTATGCTTTTGCCAGAGATTTCCTTAGATTACGGGTTGTGTCGCTTATATTTATTGTGACATAGAAGACATTATGAAGATGTACATGTAGGTGAAATGAGAATGTGTACTGCATATCGCGACATTTAAGTGACTGAGGACCTCAGTCCGATTCTTATTTATTTTCGAGACATAACTTTCAACTTACAGACAGTTATCTCCTGGCGTTGTGACAGCAGATAACATTCCAATGTTACCAGATTGGTTGCACATTTTGGGGCAATAGTATTTGTGAACTATCAAATCGTGTACAGGGTGTGCTGACACCAACACGATAACACAAAGTTTTACACGGCCTTTACTGGCACTGTTTTTTTAACGCTGCACTCAGCAATATTCCAGCAACATGAATGTGATGAGGTCATGTAAAAAGTCGAGTCTGGACCAGTCAATACAGTGATAGTAAGATCTATCAACCAAGCTACATGATCACCACCTGGCCCTCCCCGTACCATCAGCATAAGTGTGAGTGAGTGAGTATAGTTTTACGCCGCTTTTAGCAATATTCCAGCAATATCACGGCGGGGGACACCAGAAATGGGCTTCACGCATTGTACCCATGTCGGGAATCGAACCCGGGTCTTCGGCATCACGAGCGAACGCTTTAACCACTAGGCTACCTGACCGTCCCAGCATACATGTGGGTTGCTGGGTACTTATCGGAACTCCGAGTTTCCATGGAGTATCTTTAACTGAGTTCAACATGTTAATACATCTCAGCATGAAAATGTTCTTTGTGAATGAGAAAAATATATAATTTGGAATCAATCGGTGAATATTGGATACGCTTAAAATGTGTATGTTTGTGCTAAGGCAAGTGTTCAGTTTGAGCTCAACGCAAATACCTAAACTCCATACAACGTTTAATGGGTACTGAATATAAATGTGAAAGTCATAATAAGTGTTCAATTTGCTGGGTGACTTATATAAACATTGTTTGTAACACCTGGTGTCATCACTTATTTGTAGGGGGCACGGGTGGCTCAGTCGTCCAAGGCGCCGCAATTCACTGTGCAGAGTTGCGTCCCTTGGCCATGCCAGAGACCTATGATCGTGGGTTCGAATCCAGTTATGTTTCTAGGTTTGTCAGTACCATACCCGTGCTCGTGGGTTTCACCGAAGTGGTAAACGTCTAAGACCTGCATCACTTCGGGCTTTCCTCCCACAATAATCTGACACGCCGCGATATAACTGGAATACTGTTAAAAGCGGCGTTAAATCCAACTCACTTACTCACTCACTAATTTATATGCCTTTTACGCCAAATGAAATCTGTTTCGGCAGATACTCGAGATTTATTATTTCTGGCGTTGACGTTTTATATCTTAAAAAGATAATATTTCAACAAGTTATATTTACTGAGCTTGAACATTTTTTAAACTGTAAACACAAAACATTTCAACACGAATATAAGCATTATCAACTGGTAATATTTGACATTTAGTTACTTTTACTTATTAAGGTTTTGCCAGTCAATAGTACGTCTATCTTCCATTCTTGGGAAATTATGACTTGTGTATTTCATTACCCTTGCATGTCTGTGAAACAGAACTCAAAGCTGTGTTCACACTTTCTAAGTGGACATCCTGGTATGTCTATCCCGCCACAACAGCCGCCATCTTGTTCCTGTCCACTCGGGTTGTCATATCCCAAAAAGGTCACCTTGATCTTTGCTGTACTCCATACCGTTGTGGTCTGTTAATCACAAATTATTGGGTATGTCAGACGTTTACTCAAATCAAATATTAATCTGGATATACTTTACAAGCATAAACAAACATGTGTATAGCTCAGTGAAGAGTTGTCACTAGGGTTATGGATATGATGGCACATACGTAACTACTTATAATTAATGTGTGTAGTCAAGTCAAAGTCAAATATATTTATTGCATTAAGGCCTCCGGTCCATATACAAGAGAGTTACAAACAAGTAGTTTACATATTTGGATATATACTCATGTTTAACAATTTGTTTCTGAGGGAAATTGCATTTTTAACATATAGCCAGTTTTAATATGAAAGCATCATCTTTTGAAGAAAGAAGAGAAATAAAATCAGGTACAGGATATTTTGACAGATAGCGTTCTTCTATAAACTTTCTTTTTAGGTCACAATAATAAGGACAGACAAAAGCAAAATAAATTTCATTTGCTATAGCTGAATGACATAATGGGCACACCCTCTTCGACTTTTCAGTGGACATTTTCTTCCTTCATTCAGTTACTGACACTGCGCTAGCCCCCATACACAAGGTGTATTCTAAAAGCGCTATCATGATAACCCCTGTCAATGGATCAGTGTGCACTATATTCAATCTCAGCCCCTAGGGGAGTACTTAAACATACTTAAACTTTACTTGAACATGCATTACTTATTTCATAATGAACACTGTTTATAGCTGTATTACTTTTACAAAAGACAAAATAATAATCCCAAATTAAGCGTCTGTTCCATCAATGCAACACAAACTCAAATTAAAGACTTAATATGTCTTTTGAAACTAACTGGGGCGAGCGAGTCTCGGTTTATGCTGCTTTCAATAATCCAGCAGTAACATCACGAATGGGGGTGAATGGAAGCCCGACATGGAGCAGATTGTAGTGAGTGAGTATTGTTTTATGCCGCTTTTAGCAATAGTTAAGCTCTATCACGGCAGAGAACACCAGAAACGGGCTTCACAAATTGTACCCATGTCGGGAATCAAACCCGCGCCTAGGGCGTGACGAGCTAACGCTTTAACCACAAGGCTAGAAAACAATGGGGATAAAATCAAAGATATAATGCTTAAGTGAGTGAGTATGGTTTTACGCCGCTTTGAGAGTATTCCGGAATCTCCTATATCGCCCTGTCTTTCGGCGTCACGAGCGAATTCACCACCACGAGGCTATATCACCACCCACGAGCCCGGGTATGACGCCAACGAACCAATGGTCACAAGCGAGACGATTCTTGGATTCGAACCCACCGTCAGGGCATCCTGACACGACTAAGGGAATGAAAACACCTCTGCAGTGAAAGATGTTGACAGTCTATTCGCCTTATGTCGACTTCATTCGAACGATGACTTGGAGACTTTTATGTATTATTTTGCCACCCAGGACAACCATATGAGGACAACAGGATGAGGAATGATAAAGACCATTTATACCCCACTGGATGTGAATAAGTTAATCAGGCTATCAGGTTTTTTATGTGCATAAGAATTAGATTTTGTTCTTTTCAACACTTGTTGAACTGTTTGAGAACCAAATGTGGGTGAATGGATCAAAGGCCCTACTTTTCGTTTTATTGTTGCCTAAAAAACCTTTAAGATCTACATAGCGTCTTATTTCCTTCTATCCATTTGTGTACGGAATACACACATTAACAGACAAGACAATTACGTATCTCCATTTTACAAAAACAATTTAAGAACTAATATACTTGTATACTGACAGAAAGAAGCAAATATGAATTGTTCACGAAACAGTAAGGATGAATTATCAGTGAAACAACCGATGATTATCTGCACGTTCACGTGTATACATGTTTTGTACCTACATACATTCTTGCTGATAACAAAAACCACGACACATTAAAATAACTCATGATTTTAAAACGAAACATATGAGAACCAATATAAGAACTTAGTTCCTGCCAACAATCCACACGTTGTATAGTGCACTTGGAAAGGAGGACACTTTTTAAGCAAAAATCCCAGATACGATTGTCTTCAGGCGTTACATAGTGCTTGTTTCTACTGGGTGGTTATTGATTGGTCAATATTGATTCTGTCGAAGCCGTTGTATGATTGATGGCTCACAAGCAAACACCGCGTTTCATTTTCCTAATTGACTTCTCTGGGTCCATTTTTACCTTCTGAGAAAATATGTTTTATGTTCCTATTTTGTATCGATGTCGTGTGATTATTTGCCTCGCATTATCTGGGTTATGTGTAACCTCACACATCTACATATGAATAGTCAACGCCAGAGAATAACGCGTCTCAATTATCATATAAAGCCCCGATACAATTTTTTTTGTTTTAGTAAATATATCATGAAACACTAAATACGTTAATAATGACATAACCAATCCTACATGTACGTTGATCTGTTGCCATTTCTGTTTGCCTGATTCAAATCAAGTCTCAGCAATATGTCCTCAGCAATATCGACTTGCAGCCCATCGGCAAAACGGTCGTTTAGACAAATGTCCAAAAGGTTGTTTAGGCGTTGGGCGAAAAACATTGACTTACTTATTATGCAAGAAAAGTGTGATCCCGCAGAGCAGGACATTCATAGCCTTTTGCTAACCTATTTTCAGTGATCCATTCATATCAGTTTCACCATTATTAAATTAATTCTCTGGCCCTGCACCATGAACGTTATCATTTCGTTTGAAATGTCTGCCTGTGATGGTTATACGCCAGGTGCATATTCCTAACCCAGCCTCCATTTCAACTGCACAATTGTATCTGTACCTGATTACCATTGTATCTGTACCTGATAACCATTGTATTTGTACCTGATTACCATTGTATTTGTACCTGATTACCATTGTATTTGTACCTGATTACCATTGTATTTGTACCTGAAGACTCACTGAAGTATTCGTCAACATAACCTAGAAGTTCCCACAAAGGCATCATTGTCACTATGATAACATTATCATTATATAAACAAAATTGAAATTAAAGCTAAAGATTAAAAGAAATAACTACATAATGTCCAATACTTACACACGTAACCAGAAGAAAAAAACATAATCCCAATGCTGGTGTCATTCTAAATACCATCCATGAAATGTAGAAATAATCCCCAGAAAGACGTGTGCTCCGACCTTCTATCCAGCAACCTCTACACCGTTATCAGTAACTCTTGCTTGCACGAACAACAAAGTATGAAATGTCTTTGAATATTCCCCTCGAAGGATTGCTATGTTTACCCCACCCAAGATAAGTGGCTGGGGTGTGTCGCTGGTGAGTAAGGGGTACCCAACAGAGTAGGTGATAAGGTTCTTTATCCCGGGGATTATATCGTCAATGTACAACTGCATTGCGACATAGAAAGTGCGAGGCATACTGCAAATTGTGGTGACTGATTTCGAAAGGTTATATGGTTTCTGCGTTTCTGTGTGTGACAATAATGAAATATGTATAGTGTTCAGTTGTTCAAATATTGTTTTCGTTTTGGGATAGGTCATTGTTTTATCATATAAGGACATGGATCAATTTATCATGTTTTGATCTTGCAATAAACGTACCACCTCCGCTATGTTCAATGTTAAATCGGATACAAATGAAAACAGTCTCGGTTACAAACACTAGATTAACCTTTAGTTAATGGACAATGGTACAATTATTTATTCTTTTCTTGAAATGTCATTATATTCTAATCTATTTCGTTATGATCAGATCCTAATAGCTATTGATTTTCTTATAAATAGCCATATTGATTGAGTCTCTTCTCCGATACATGCTCTCTGTTCAAAGTCCACCTGATTGGGTGAACCGCCCAGCATAGATACACATGCATATTGTGGCATGTGGCGTAGACTGCACCATACTTCTTTTAAGGTATAGTCGAGTGGATCAGAAAATCAAATGTAAACTTCTCATAAATTTAGAGGGCAATAACTATTGCACAATGCATCTTGAAATGAATGTCAAAGTAAACACGTGTGGTCGCACTGCGTATTAAATGTTTCAATGAATGTACAAAGGCGGAGTTTGTAACTCCTTATCCGCACCTCGTTGACATGCAGGATATCAGAGGCATACATTATTGGTAACGGCGTCCCATAAGCCTTGGAAAACATATTTTTATGTAGGTTGTCTTGGATGCGACGCGAAACTTCGATCCGTTTGTTTGTGATGAGTCCTTGAGATACAGTGTATTGTGTATTACTGGGTATAAACAGCATGTCGTGGCATATTAAATATGTTTGAATTCAGGGGAATGATTTTCCTTATGCAGTGTACATTTTTAAAGATTTCTTTGCCGAACATTCCTCCTAACTGGGCTGCTGATGTGATGATCATCTATAGTCATGCATCTACTTGATCATCTCTCATACAATGGTCCCAAGCATGTACTAACGCACTGGCACTGACGCATTGACGCACTGACACACTTATTCAGTTATGTACTGACGCATTGACAAACCGACTCAGTTGTGCACTGACGCACTGACGCACTGACAAACTGACACACTCTCTCGCGTGGCCTAATGGCCAATGACATGCGATCTAACGTCAATATGATTATAGTCATGTTGGGATCCTATGGGTATATGATGCTAAATTGAGGCAAAAAAACTCAGTTACTTTCACCCTCATCCTTGTCAGAGTGCAGAGCTCTCCAGCTCTCGCATTGACACATCTGATAATTATAAAGTAACTGTCAGTAACCTCAGTTTCGCCCTAAGCATTATATCAGTATAATATAATACTTTAATAAGTTGGACAAACACTGAACGCCCACTGTAACAGTACTACGGTACTGACGTGGGAGCAAAACTCGAAGTGATGCACGTGTTTGACTTGGAAGGCAATTGTCACGGTAATGGTGCTGACAAACCCAGAACCACAATCAGTGCGAACCTGGAATTGGGCCCAAGAACATAGGCTTCTGATAAGCCCAAGGGACGCCGCTGTGTGTGTCGAGTTGCGGCGCCTTGCTGACTGGGCATCAGTGAAGATGAAATATACATACTTTAACATTTACGCCCTTCGCTGTTACAAAACAGAATGTTGAAAGTGTTGTTAAACCCAACTTCCTGGAGCTAAATAGCACTCTATTGCCTTGATCTTAAAGTCTAAAGGAGCTGTAATTCCTTCACACAAGGATCCACTGGTCGTAGGTTCGAGTCCCAGATGACGCAACCCATTATTATCACTGGTCTGTCCACACCCGTACTCGCACGTTGACCAAGGTGGTTAACATCCATAACGTTAACGTGTCTCCTTTGTTCCACATTACGCTGACACTAAATTCAACAGAGCTGCATTTAACCCCACTCACTCACATCTAACAGTTGAAGCATATATGGAATATCTCTGAATATGCAATACATGCTAGAAGTACAGCTAAGGCTTATAGCTGCCAATGTACAGAAACTGTCAATTACTTAGAAACGAGAGTCAGAATGAATGTAACTATCTCTTAAAATTTAACTCTGCTCGTTTCTTTGAGACCAGCTATATCTATGAACATTAGCTTTATCGTGTATTACCATGTACAACCCGAGTTTAGAGACCAAGTTTGAGGAAAATGTACGATTGTAGTTGTTCTGTCAAATATTAACCAAGCTGTCTAGGTGATGAACACAATATGCATGTTGGCAAGAAAACAGAAATACAAATGATCCTTTTTGGTGACCAAGTTAGTTTGGAAAAAGGCCGCTTTGAACACTATTTCAGTTCCATCACAGCCTCATGTGGGAGGAAATCCACTTTAGGGAAACCCTCAAGAAAAGTCATTTTGCTGAAAAACGTATATACACAGCGAATTCGCTCAAGTGCGATGACACGTCACACTAATAGCGAGTATGACTACCCACAGCTACAAGACACACAAAAACTTTCCGGCGCACAAAAAAGTCAATCGTCTGATGACGTCACGTGGGATACGTCGCCATTCATCTTGGAAGGTCTGGATCAGTTCTTGTCGGTTTGCTGGAGGATGTGGTCGCTGTCGAACACGACGATCCATGCCATCCCAGAGGTCTCCTATGGGGGACATGTCTGTGGAGCGTGCTTGCTACGGCAACAAGTTGACGTTGTTGGTTGCAAGGGCTGTATGGGGTCCGATGTTGTCATGCTGATAAAGTGAGTGAGTGAGTGAGTGAGTATGGCTTTACGCCTCATTTAGCAATATTCCGGCAATATCACGGCTGGGGACACCAGAAATTGGCTTCACACATTGTACCCATGTCAGGAATCGAACCCGGGTCTTCGGCGTGACGAGCGAACGCTTTAACCACTAGGCTACCCAACCGCCCCTATGCTGATAAAGGACACACGACGTGGCAGCTCTTGTAGATAAATGTCACCCATGACATACTGAGCTGTCAAATAACCTTTAACGATGACAGTGGTTTTCTCTCCTGCCCACAAATTCCTCCCCACACCATAACACCCCCTCCACCATAAGGCACGACCTCCCAATCGCAACATGTCGCCGTTCGTTCCCCCCTTCGGCGGTAAACACGTTGTTGTCCATCAGTTCTGAACAGGCCGAACCGGCTTTCATCAGTGCAGACGGCCCTCTTCCGATCACATCGCATCAAACGACGTACAGGCAGGGCCCATCTCAATCTCTGACGACGCTGTTGTGCTGTAAATAACTGTGCCTCTGCAAGGTGTGTAAGCACTGTTGCCACTGCCTGACGACTAACCATATCCCCCGAGGCATTCGTCGCTGATGACGTCACTATCAGGAATCGATTCCGGAGATGCAAAGTACGCAAGTACCTGTCTTCATTGGGCATAGTTACCCTGGGTCTGCTGTTCCAGGCATGTCTGATGTCTGCCCAGTCAGTCTGTAACGTGCATCAGGTTAGTTACAGCAACTCGAGAGCGAGGGAAAGTTCTAGCAATGTGAACATGGATGGCTCCCATTTGTATCATAGCCAGCGCCCGCTCGCGTTGTTCGAGTGGCATTTCGTTGCATTTCTGTGGTGGGTTTTAGTCAGTGTGAGTGTCTGGCATGCCACCCGTATCATGTATATACCCGTATTGCATGTGTATCCAAATCGGTACGTATTTTTCACTTTTTCTCATTTTCTAAAAAGTAAACGTGCTGTGGGCGTGTATCACTTTCTGCATAGGCCATTGTTGTGTTTGGATGATGTGGTTGGCATTAATTTAGTTTGAACTTTTGTTTTTAATTTTTTTTAAATTCATTTTAAAAGTGGTAAAGTTTCTTTTGGCAGTCATTTTTTTATGCATAATCTCGTTCAATAAACGTAGATATTGTAGAACAAAGAAATGTCATTAACTAAACCTAATAAGAAAAACATGTCTAATCAGAAACATCTCCTTTACATTTTGTGTCTTCACTTTTGAAAGAAGGTATTTAATAACCACTTTACTCGTCTTTCAGTCTAGTAATGATTGGCCACTCGAACTATAATTCCAATTCAATTACATACAAGTTAGAAGTAATCCTTATTCAAAACGTCAACGCCAGAGAATAACCAGTGTCGGTAATCTGCCGAAACAGATTCCATTGGGAGGAAAGGCAAAAGAAGTGAAAATTATATGAATGGATCACTGAAAATCAATAATGACACCGGGTGTTCGTGAAAAAGGTAAGCATGTCCTACCCTACCGGTTACACCGCTTCTCACACATTATTTTATTTAAAAAATAAGTGTTTGTTTTTTCCATCCCCACACCCAGCAACAGTCCTGTCATACGACGGCGGTAAACAACCGAGTCTGGACCAGACAATGTAGTGATCAGTTCCATGAGCAATGACCTACGTCGTCATGATATGAAGCCACGCTGTCAACAAAGTCACAAACCTGACCACCAGATCCATTAAAGTAAGTGCTAGTGTTTAAGGAGCGGTGTTTAGGCTTAGACCAGAAATGGCCATAAGAAACTTGAGAAGGAAGCCACCGTTATTTCAGAAAATCCAAAGAAAGGTTCTTTATTTAATATCAGGGACGATTAGATCAACCACATGCCATTGCTAAATGACCCTTCGTCGGTATCTCTGAAGAATATTTCTGCGTTAATGAAGTCACGTGTTCAACCTATCGGCTTTGTGATTGGCCCATTAGGATTACAAGAAGGGCACGATCCATTCCACACACCACCAGGCATCATGGTACAGTCAGTGCAAGAGCCAAACCACCAACCACTCTGAAATATAGAAGCACAGTTTCCACCAACATCATCGTCCTTGTCTCGGTCGAAGGTGCTGAAGGACCTCCCGACGGTTTCCGACATGCACTCACCTAATTCCCCTTTCTCGTTCCTCACAATTTGCACGGTGTAGTTGGAGTCGTTGTTGCCGATTCGGAACAGATCGGTAACTTGCCGTGTGAAAAGTCTTTTGTTGTTATTGGTCTCGTACAGCAGCTGTTTAGGTTCACTGTTGGTGAGGTAGTGAAGTCCGAGCCAGTGGCTGCTGTGGATATGGCCGAAGCCGTATCGATACTCGTCCCAACTCCGATTGAAGTTCATGAATGTCCTACCACGTTGTTGTATGTAGGTTCTTCCGCCTTGCACGAACCAACTTAAGACTTGGAAAGGGGTCGGGGACAAGGTGGGGTGGATGTTCATGGGGACACTCCCTCCGTGTCGATAGTAGTGGTACTTGAAACCCTCAGCGCAGTCTGAAACCAAGAGGAATTCATTGTTATATCGATGCGGGGATTATTGTCTAAATTTGCAATATTTGATATATTATTGAGTAAGTGAGTGAGTTTTGTTGAACAGTATGCCAGTTATATCACGACGTGTCAGCTTGATGTGGGAGGAGAGACTGAAGCGATGCAGGTCACAGATGTTTACCACTTTGGTGAAACCCACTAACAAGGTTCTGGTGCTGACATACCTAGAAACATAATCTAGGCGAACCAGGATTCGAACCCATGACCATAGGTTTCTGGCTTTCCCAAGGGACACAACCCTGCACAGCGAATTGCGGCGCCTGAGACGACTGGGCCACCTACCCACCCTTGATAAAAGTAATTTTGATTCAACAATCGATTAGCAAAACCCGAAAAGTATCGATACACCGAAACCAGAGATCCTTGACAAATCGCTATAACCACGAACCGTTGACTGCACATGAAGAGAATCTACTGATATTGGCTTACTTCCAACAAACACCACGCCCATTCGCGTATCATGACGTTAACCAACTGCCATGTTATTGGACAAAAGTAAAAAGTCAGGACACGTAAATACCAACTCAACCTTAAAATTCCAAAACCTATCCCAGTTTAAACAAAGATTGAACTTTTGAATCGTATCAGGTATCGGGTCACAATGTTCACACACATACTGTCCGGGGTAACGTCCGGTATAGCGGGGAACATTTTTATAGATACTATAGTTGCTGCGGTGACGACATCTGTGATATGAAGGAAGATATCTAAAGAAAATGACCACATGTTCAGCGTTGTCTGTTATTGTCATTGAAAGTGACATCTTTGGATACACCTTTCGTCAAATAAGGGGGAAGGGGTTAGGATATATGCGCCCGACTCAATTAATCTGTGTCTTGCCGTTTCGATGTTTTGAATCACTGGAAATATGCCCTGATTAGTGCTTTTGATGACCTTTTGTCCACAATGACCACGACGAATTCTTATAATCATTAGCGTCAAAACATTTTTTCAGAATCATGAGGAATCTCTACCCACAGCAGCGTCCATTGTACGAGTCCGTAGAGGGGGGTGTCCGAATAACTAAGTTTTTAATAGAATGGGGAGTAACGAGGATATTCCTCTAAAACATCTCTACTCATACTTTGACAAAACATTCTAAAGATCCATGTCCCATGCATTAAGATCATCTCGCGACGGAGCACGTGCAAGAGCGGTATAGAACACAATCAACTGTCCATTCCTGAATCTGTTCCAAATATTGGAGCTCTCAAACAATAGATTGACGTCACAGAAATGTTTAAGACCAGCATGGGACTGACTTCATCCCTTCTTGTCTGTAGCCGCATTACTTCTGGACAAGTAACATGCAAGCATGGTAACAGTCATCCCGCATGCTCATTCAGCAGTTCAACATACATTTCAATCATAGTCAGCTTTGCAACAAGGCTTAAATTCTTCTCTTGATTAATAACTCGGGTCTATTCTGCCACCTCATTTCAGCCAACACGGACAGGGATCCAAATAACATTCTGAGAAATATCTTTGGAATTCAGGTTAGAATCTATTCCCATGACATTAAAATAAACATCACTTGACCCAGCTGCTCCCGACTTGGAACCTCAAACAGCAGGCATTGAGTTCCATCAACGTGCCCCGAGGAAGGATAATGGCTCTGCTGCCACTAGTACAGGTTACCGAAAGCCTAGAGGCGACCATGGCTTCAGAGAACTCAGGTATTAATTCATTCATTCATTCATTCATTCATTCATTCATTCATTCATTCATTCATTCATTCATTCCATGGCTTCAGAGAACTCAGGTATCACAATGCTTCAGAAGTCTGATTACTCGAGAAAGGCTTAGACGTATCAGTGTATATGATAAGGATAGTTTTCAGGAATAGTCACTGGCTATGGTTTAAAAACATTAAGACTCACGATGTTTTAACAATGCTGTTCTGTTCTTGACCCACTTGCACAAAGCGATCTCAGTGCTAAGACTATCGTAAGTTTATGTTAAAGTATGGGAGTTACTATCATCTTAGCGCTAAGATCGCTTTGTGCATATGGGCCCCTCGTTATATAAGAAGTCACCAAGTAGAAACTGTTCTTAGGGCTGCGTGTCCGCCAGATTAGGATTCCAACATTGTATTACTAGGCCTTGAACATCTAGTCCAAAAGGGACTTAACCAAATAGTATATTCCAAATACTCATTGAAGACATCATCAGGAAATGTTTTAAAATTTAGAGATTTGAGCTAGAGATGGTTTTTTAAAGACTTCTGACGGCGGAGGCATAACGTCATGATAATAGAACATCATATATTAGCAATGAAATTAGAATTGTTTGAAAGTATCCTGTACATACTCTCGATGCCTTGTGATTGTGTAACGCCACGTTTTGACGGATGTCACCCTGTCGTAAAGCAGGTATTTAGATACTAAACACAAACCTAGGCACGCCCTTCGTACCATAATTTTAACTTGTACCAAATATTGGCCATGGCACGTGCTTTGGTTTGTCCACAAACCTAAAATTATGGGACAAGGGACGTTCTAAGGTGTGTGTTTAGGATCTAAACATACATTTCACAAACATGTATATCAGGGGAAATAATAATGGTAAAAGTATTACTGTACTAAGAACCAAAATATCAGAATAATTAATGTCCATTATGAGAATGGTTTGTGATCTGCTCCGTAAGTTTACCGCTGTTTTATAGAAATTAACTTTTAAGCCCCACTTTGAACAAAATTTCCATAATATATGTATTTTGTTTTGCAAACCAATAACACTATGAGAAAACAGACCTCTTTAACCATGATACCGACACTCCATTAAACACTTGCCTCTTTAACCATGATACCGACACTCCATTAAACACTTGCCTCTTTAACCATGATACCGACACTCCATTAAACACTTGCCTCTTTAACCATGATACCGACACTCCATCAAACACTGACCTCTTTAACCATGATACCGACACTCCATCAAACACTGACCTCTTTAACCATGATACCGACACTCCATCAAACACTGACCTCTTTAACCATGATACCGACACTCCATCAAACACTGACCTCTTTAACCATGATACCGACACTCCATCAAACACTGACCTCTTTTACCATGATACCGACACTCCATTAAACACTGACCTCTTTTACCATGATACCGACACTCCATCAAACACTGACCTCTTTAACCATGATACCGACACTCCATTAAACACTTGCCTCTTTAACCATGATACCGACACTCCATTAAACACTTGCCTCTTTAACCATGATACCAACACTCCATTAAACACTTGCCTCTTTAACCATGATACCGACACTCCATCAAACACTGACCTCTTTAACCATGATACCGACACTCCATTAAACACTTGCCTCTTTAACCATGATACCGACACTCCATTAAACACTGACCTCTTTAACCATGATACCGACACTCCATTAAACACTTGCCTCTTTAACCATGATACCGACACTCCATCAAACACTGACCTCTTTTACCATGATACCGACACTCCATTAAACACTTGCCTCTTTAACCATGATACCGACGCTCCATCAAACACTGACCTCTTTTACCATGATACCGACACTCCATTAAACACTTGCCTCTTTAACCATGATACCGACACTCCATTAAACACTTGCCTCTTTAACCATGATACCGACACTCCATCAAACATTGACCTCTTTAACCATGATACCGACACTCCATTAAACACTTGCCTCTTTAACCATGATACCGACACTCCATTAAACACTTGCCTCTTTAACCATGATACCGACACTCCATCAAACACTGATCTCTTTTACCATGATACCGACACTCCATTAAACACTTGCCTCTTTAACCATGATACCGACACTCCATCAAACATTGACCTCTTTAACCATGATACCGACACTCCATTAAACACTTGCCTCTTTAACCATGATACCGACACTCCATTAAACACTTGCCTCTTTAACCATGATACCGACACTCCATCAAACATTGACCTCTTTAACCATGATACCGACACTCCATCAAACATTGACCTCTTTAACCATGATACCGACACTCCATCAAACATTGACCTCTTTAACCATGATACCGACACTCCATCAAACACTTGCCTCTTTAACCATGATACCGACACTCCATCAAACATTGACCTCTTTAACCATGATACCGACACTCCATCAAACATTGACCTCTTTAACCATGATACCGACACTCCATCAAACACTGACCTCTTTAACCATGATACCGACACTCCATTAAACACTTGCCTCTTTAACCATGATACCGACACTCCATTAAACACTTGCCTCTTTAACCATGATACCGACACTCCATTAAACACTGACCTCTTTTACCATGATACCGACACTCCATTAAACACTTGCCTCTTTAACCATGATACCGACACTCCATTAAACACTTGCCTCTTTAACCATGATACCGACACTCCATCAAACACTGACCTCTTTTACCATGATACCGACACTCCATCAAACACTGACCTATTTAACCATGATACCGACACTCCATCAAACACTGACCATGATACCGACACTCCATCAAATACTGACCTATTTAACCATGATACCGACACTCCATCAAACACTGACCTATTTAACCATGATACCGACACTCCATCAAACACTGACCTATTTAACCATGATACCGACACTCCATCAAACACTGACCTATTTAACCATGATACAGACTCTCCATCAAACACTGACCATGATACCGACACTCCATCAAATACTGACCTATTTAACCATGATACCGACACTCCATCAAACACTGACCTATTTAACCATGATACCGACACTCCATCAAACACTGACCTATTTAACCATGATACCGACACTCCATCAAACACTGACCTATTTAACCATGATACCGACACTCCATCAAATACTGACCTATTTAACCATGATACCGACACTCCATCAAACACTGACCATGATACCGACACTCCATCAAACACTGACCTCTTTAACCATGATACCGACACTCCATTAAACACTTGCCTCTTTTACCATGATACCGACACTCCATTAAACACTTGCCTCTTTAACCATGATACCGACACTCCATCAAACACTGACCTCTTTAACCATGATACCGACACTCCATTAAACACTGACCTCTTTAACCATGATACCGACACTCCATTAAACACTTGCCTCTTTTACCATGATACCGACACTCCATTAAACACTGACCATGATACCGACACTCCATAAAACACTGACCTCTTTAACCATGATACCGACACTCCATTAAACACTTGCCTCTTTTACCATGATACCGACACTCCATCAAACACTGACCTCTTTAACCATGATACCGACACTCCATTAAACACTTGCCTCTTTTACCATGATACCGACACTCCATTAAACACTTGCCTCTTTAACCATGATACCGACACTCCATCAAACACTGACCTCTTTAACCATGATACCGACACTCCATCAAACACTGACCTCT